TCGGAAATCAGCTGAATTACATGCAAACTTGCTGGACTGTGGGATACGTCATTGGCCAAATTCCAAGGTGTGGGCTAAAGAATCTCATCTTCATTATCCCAACGAAGCTAATGTTTAATTTGATTGTAGCAACATTCTCTTGACCCGCATCAGACCGTCCATTTGGATCCCGTCGTGCGAAGTCACCTGGGCCGTTTTGACAATTCTCATGGTTAAGTGTAACAATGCGCAGCAAATTTACGTGTTACGATTCTTCATCGGACTTGCTGAAAGTACGTTTTATCCTGGGATGCAATACATCATTGGATCTTGGTATCGCAAGGATGAACTAGCCAAAAGGTCTTGCATCTTTCACACCAGTAGCGCTATCGGAACCATGTTCTCAGGATACCTGATGGCCGCTGTCTATCATCTTGGAGGCAAGGATGGATTTAAAGGTTGGCAATGGCTATTCATCATCAACACCGTCATCTCTCTGCCAATTGCTCTGGCTGGGTATCTCATGATACCCGATGTGCCTGAAATCACACGAGCATGGTATTTTACAAAAGACGATATCGCGATTGCCCAGAAAAGAATGCAGCTTGAGGGTCGAGCAAACCGAGCTCCGTTTACCAGGGAGAAAGTGAAGAAGATACTTTCTAGTTGGCATATATACTTGCTTACATTGCTATACATCTTCTTCAACAACGGAAATGGCGCTGCATCTCAGCCCGCCTTTCAGCTGTGGCTCAAGAAGGAAGGTTACAGCGTCACCCAAATCAATACTTACCCGACGATCACCACTGCCATTACTGTGGTTACTACCTTGATCTACGCGTGGACCTCAGATACGATATTCCGAGGAGAACGCTGGCCGCCAATCGTCTTTGCGGGCATAATTAACATTATTACAAACGTTAGCCTTACGATCTGGAATATACCAATTGGTTGGAAGTGGGCCTGCTTCTTTTTGGCTGGATTTGGCGGAGGTATTAGCGGTCTTACATTTGCCTGGGCGCATGAGATCTGCACAGATGACAATGAGGAGCGAGCATTGGTCACTGGAACAATGAACGAAATGGCGTATGTGATCCAGGCATGGCTGCCACTGTTAATCTGGCAGCAAGTTGAGGCTCCCGAGTATCCCAAAGGATACCCAACATCTATTGGAATCGCTGTTGGAATGATAATAATGGCTTTCTGGATAAAGTATGCACACGGACGGGAGAAACGGAAGAAACAGGCCCAAGAGGATGAATCAACTTTGGGAATATCTACTGCATGATACTTAACAAGATAGCCATTATATGTATTCATGATCTAGATTGGCAGAATTTGTATGGAAGTGAGGTATTTGCGCGCCCAGTTCATGAAGTTCCTACAGGTAGAAATGAACCATCACATTACTTGCTATCCCGGTAGCGTGGCGCGCTATCATACACCAGTTATCGCGAGACACAACCAAGACGAACAGAAGCACATCATAGCCCCTACAAAGCTATAGATGGGTAAATAGAAACTATGAAATGGCACAGAAAAAAAAAGTTGGGCAGGATACTTGGTGATTAGGGAATGGCACAGCAAAAAGGATTCAATAGAAAAGAAACATTATTTCCTATTATCTCTAATGGTAGGGTTGGTATCACTAGCCCAGAAAAATATGGTTGTACCTTCATGGGAGCTTCAGCCAGAGCTTCAATAGGTTGGGATACTTGGGAGTGCCCAGTCCAGTCACTGGATCCCAGCCCTCTACAGCAGTGAAGCCACTGGTTCCGCAATTCGGGTTCGACCCTTGCTTGATATCAGTGAGGGCATCTGTGTTGGCATAAAGAACTGGATTGATAAACCCAACAGATCTTTTGCCAATTTTGGCACGCTCCTGGTTAATAAGTGTAATGACAGAGGCCCAAAGAGGCGCTGCCAGACTTGTTCCGAACCAGTGACCATCGGTCTGGTTGTTGAACGCGCGGAAATGAGCTCCGTTAGCTGAAATATCAGGGATACCTCTACCAGCACGGTTGTAGATTCCTCCATTCTCGCCAATATTGCTTGCATCGTTGTTTGCGATGTAGTAAGGGTGGCCTGGGTCATGCTTGGCAAAGTAACTTTTGACTGCCGCCTTCTGATAGTCCGGTATAGGGAAATAGTTTGAGAAGCCGCCTCCAGAGGCGAACAGTTCGGCTCCTGGACCGAGGTTGGTCTGCATGGCGCCCTCTGCGTCAAGGACAGTTGTGCCAGTCTCAAGCTGGGTAGCACCAACAGAGGTGAGGTATGGGCACGAAACGGGATTTCCAGGATTGTAGATGGTCTGGTTCTGACCTGATCCAGACAAGCAACCACTTGCCGAGTCCTCATGCGGCGGCATGGCAGCGCCGTAATCTCCGGAAGAGACCAGAACCGTAGTTCCTTGGAGACCTAGTTTGAGCCACTCGTTGCATTGGCGGAGGAAGTAGTTTTTGGGCACATCAATCTCTCCCTCTCCGTACGAGATGGAAATGACCTTGTTTGGCTTGTAGGCGCCACACAGACGCTGGCCGGTGTAGCCACCAGGACGCTTATCGGGATAAGAAGGATCGACGCCTGGGCTGTCACCAGAGATGCCAAATGCCGAGTAGTGGCAGTAAGAACCATCTAGAGCATCCAAGAAATTGTTCAAGAAGCCGGAGTAGTTGTTGGCAGTAGTATACAAGCGGTCATCCACTTGATACAAGACCATGGACTGAGGCCAGATCAAAGTCTGAATAATGTCGATATCAATATCGGATTCGCCGGTATTGAATTCAGAATCAGCGGTTACAGGTGCTTGGCCACCGTCGATTGACAAGACTTTGGGATGCGTGCCATTGGCAATGTAAGGGGCATATTTGTGGAAATATGAGTCGATATCTTCCTGAGAGAATGTGTCTCCAGACTCATAAACTGCGGGCTCGTGTCCAGGAATTGGGATGCTAATTGCTGGGATCTGGTACAACGCACGGTAACAGATGGCAGTAAAGTTTCGAGCGCAATCCTGCAGATCGGCTGGGAGTTTGGGGTTCGGATGAGGCTTTTTCAACAATGACAGCAAGTTTGGTGGCATTTGCTTCGGCTTCCAACCCTTTCGGTGGTTCGTTCCACTGCGTCTTTCCAAGGAACGTTTCATCATTGGTGGTGATAGTTTGACACCAGGAACAATATAGTCGATGTGCTTCGCGAGGTGCTTAGGGACGTGGTATTGATCACATCCAATCTTGAGCACTCCTTCCCGTTCATGTTCGTGATACTGTGTTTGGAACAGATCTTCGATGTGGGACACAGGAAGATCAATAGCGAGCCATCCTTTATTGACATATTGGCGGATGTCTGTGGCATTGACGCCAGACTCAACCAACCAGGAATGAACAGCATCGAAAGTCTCATGTGCTGGAGCAAACAGCTCGTGGACCTCGTCCTCACTTAGATGTTTGCCAAAGGTCTCGGATGATGGATCAGAGACTTCCATCAGCTTCTCATAGCCAAGATGGACGTTGCTTTGTACCAACCCAATCCGGAGCGGAATTATAGCGTCTGGCTCGAGGCGGCTGCCGCGCTTCCATGGCCGATGGTTATCGACCTGGCCAGTTCCGGTCGGAGTCCTGGTTTCGTGGAGCACGTAGCTACTAGACGGCAATCCATACACAGATGAATCCGTGAATGCAATCGCCGCTGCAAGAGCCAGCAAAGTCCTGAGCGAATAGCCCATGTTGCCTAATAATATTGAAGTATCTGCCAAACTTTGTTTGCGAAGGATCGCCTCAGCAAGCCTTGGCAACAGTTCAAGCTTTTCTTGGCCAAACAGCCATGCTTTTATATCCCGACATCAAAGCCCCATAGTACCTGTCATGCCATCGTGCTCATTAGATCTCTACAATGCCGCTAGCCACTACTATCTGTGTGCACATTTGCTAGGCTACTCCCTATCTATTCACAACTCTTCCCCTTTGTCAAAAGTCCGCCTGCCGAATATCCGAGATGTCGTGAAATCCTTCTCTTATTCAAAGGTATTACAACACCAGAAACCCAGTCAGACGCCCTGCGCTGACCAAGGTAGTCGTCTTCCCAGTTGTTCCTCGAGCATTGCCAACGCCGCCGATTGGACGTTTTCCGAAACGCTAACAAAGGTCCATCCAGTATTAGGCAGGTATCGGCCGTGTGGCTGTTGTTGACCTAGAGCTCCAGGGGAGTTTCTGCATCAAGTAAGCTTGTAAACTCCGATCTCAATCTTAATGCCCTGTTGTTGCGATGTGAGCTGATGGGGTACCCCAGCTGGAGGATTGGTTAGCCTGCCGAACATCCAGTGTTCGCTATATCCGGCATTAACCGGCCAGATAGCGGATTCTGACTCCGTCTCCCATATTCAAAAGGCCCTACAACCCCCGCTTCAGATCTTCGCTAGCATGCGCGATCCATGCCCAGTATGCTTGTCTCCTGCTGCCGTTATCGCAGTGATGATTCTTAAAATAGCTGTTGATAGGACCATTGGCTGGATAACAGATGTGGTCAGAAGATTCGCGCTCAAGGATTGGCGTAGACAATGACAATTCATGTTCTTAGACTACTCGTATATCGGCGAGGAATTACTCTTGCATTGCCAGCTCAAATCGTCATCGCACTCAACGGTGAATCTAAAAATTTGATGGGGATTTAATAGTCCGGATGACAATACTGTCACGGCCGCATCCTATATCATGTGTTTAAAAAAGAATATGTTTTATGTATTTAGCCGTTCTTACATTAAGGCTCTCTTTATGCATTGAGATCAAACCAGCAGCATATACGCGATGTTGCCTTAACTGAGCCCCCATTAGTAGCTGCGTAGATCGTGTAGAGTAATTGTAAAAGACTGGCGAAGCACCTGGAAGATATGTGGCTGAATAGCGGAACTATTGAGACTATAGACTACTCACCTGGTATAATATAGGGTAATATACGACGCAACGAATGATTAGAACTGTCCAATTTCTCCCAATCTTCTCCTTCTCATTCCAATATATCAACCATCATGTTAGACTGCCCTTGACATCCATGAAAAGCTTCTCGAGTACTTCAATAGATTCCATAACGCTGTCATGGTCAGTACCGGGGACCGTAGCCGAGCTGAAGTCAATGACATCGTCAAATGTGTTCTCTTGCCATCCCCAGCATTCTTCCACATACTTCTGGCCCCCTGCGCCAATCATGACATCGCTTTCAGCGAAATATGCTCTCACTTTCAGTTTCATGTGGCCCTGAGAACTCACGTCCAACTGTTGTTTTTGCCTCTCAGTGCTCACGAATGCCTTTACAAAGACATTGTAATCATCACACTCTCCCCACGATCGTCCGTCGCCTTTTCTCAAACACTGAAGTGCCTCATCATTGGCACCAGTGGTGTCTCCCTCAAAGATTTTCTTCATACGCATCGGTCCCAATTCTAGTTGTACATCTCTTGGCAAGTCATAGTCGGTCGCCAGCTTTTTCCTGTTGATCTCTTGGAAGGAAAGCTCTCGCCCGTCACCACCGCCAATAGAAGAAGAGAGGAAACTGGCGGCCTTGGTAAAAACAGTTCCACTTGTGGCGAATGCAGGTGTAATGAGGTTCATTAGACCAATGGCTTGTGTCGGAATATAGTGAGCCATCTGCCATAGTGTAAGTTTGGAGTGCGCTGGATCAACCCACGGCGCTGATGATTTGTAAGTCAAGGTTCCAGGCTACATAAGAAGCCAATTGCCATCGTTCTACATACCCATAAATGCAACAAAAGGCCGCTCGGGATGCAGCATATCCCGGTAATGATGCAAGGTGTTAAGCAGATACATTACCCCAAATGAATGCGAGATTAAGGCGATATGCTCGATATCTAAATGTGCCATTAGAAGAGGGACGATCTCAATCCACGTTGAAAGCCGCTGCGAAAGTGGCACGCGGGTGGAGAGGCCCATCCCAGGCCTATGCACACGAGGCAGAGAGACGTTAGCATTCCTAGCCCAACTGCGCTGAATACTGAATTATCATAGGACACATCTTCACCTGTCGATAACCAAAACTCTCACTCCAAATTTACGAGCAACTGGATCTAGAAGACCCCCGATATATCTGGACCCAAACATGCCGGGGATGAAGAGCACAGTTGGCGTACTGCGACTTGCGGCCGGAGATTCGGGTTTGAATCCCAGGTCAGCATAGCAAACAGTGATGGGGTCGCGGTTTGCAGTTCTGGGAAGAATAAACTCTTGGCTGAAGCGAGGATCCGAGATGTAGCTGAGCGCCCGATCGTGCGCTGAAACTGTAGCGGGATCCATGCCGTCTGTAGCAATCAGAGTGACTCTGTGATGGAAAAGAGAGTTGATATCCAGTCGCGAGCGAACCTAATAGCAAGACGAAGGCTCTAGGACGGGCGGAAAACCCCCTTCAAAAATAACTCAACTGGACGTTGTCCAAAGGAATGAAGAGTTGGATGCGCAGTTCTATCGGCTACTCGTGCCGACGACGCGAAGCTCAGTTGTGTCATGTCCATCTCTTCAGCGAATCATGGCGCGCCAACTTAGCGCGCCAATTCCATGTGTGTTGGTTGTTGGTTAGGTTACACGTGAGTAACGTATATCACCTAGGATGAATTACAAAAACGAGATGGAAGTTCAGTATATATGCATTGCAGCAAAGTCATATATTTAACGGCTCCCGCCATGTATAATGTAAATAAAAACTCTACTAGGCAGATAGAGTTGAGGCGCACATGGAATGGATAGTTTCTGAATCAATTGTCCCTTGTAAAAGCAATGTGACAAGGAATTGCGGTATTCACTCGGGGCGGGTAAAGAATGTAGACCTGGGCTCCGTTTTTTTTTTAAAAAGAAACCGATATAAAACTATATTGTACCCTGGAAATACGAGTAGCTTTCCCTGGTGCTCATCTAATAGGGGTATTACTTGCGGAGTGGCCAAGGTGCCTCGGCCCCGAAATGATGAAAGGAAGGCAACATGACCAGGCTCTTCAGACAAATAAACTTGGATGGGCTGACAGATAAGGTATCATGTAATGTGATTGCTTCGTATTCTACGTATGTACGCATGTAAATATTTCTCGCAGTCCTTGTCCTCAACATAGTGTCCTGTATATCCTCTTCCACAAAGGCCATGTACGGCGCATCTCCTCCTCCTCTGCCGAAACATGGGACTGTACTCTCGAAAAGCTCCTCCCAGTGTGGATATCCATAGCTGCTATGCTGACAATCTGTGTCCTAAACCACAATTTATGTCCAACATAGAACAGAATGACGATTGGGACGGCCAACATCTTTAGGAAGAAGTTTCTGGCAGTGATAGCGGGCTGACCACCCGTGGGACTGGTTGGCACTGGGGAAATGGCAACCCAAAACTGGGAAGCTAGCACCAATATATTGCCTACCAATCCGAGGATAGAACCCATAATACCGGCCTGTGAAACAAATGGCAGGTGATTTACCGAGTAGCCTGCTGCTGCCCAAGCTCTCCGGAATCGAATATGACAGAGGCAAATGCTGCCCCAAGTGAACAGACTGGACAAACCACAAATGGCCAGAAGCCAGTTGAAGATCTCTGAATGGATCTTGACATTGACTAGGTAGGCCAAAAGGCCTAGAGAAGAGGCGAAAAGAATCGCGACTAGTGGTCGTCCTTTGCGATCAACATAGGAAAATATGGCCGGCGCGTGCGACTGCTCAGCCAAGGAGGCCAGCGTTCTCGAAGATCCGAATATGGCAGAGTTTCCCACACTCAACACTGCAATCATGATCACGGCATTCATAACACTGGGTAAAATGGTTGATCCGGCGCTCTCGACGGCAATGACGAACGGACTGGCGGCCGCATCAACAGAGCTTTGGCCTCCAAGAAGACGGGGCTCGTTGTACGGAACCAACAGAGTCACCAACAGCAGTGATACAATGTAAAAGATGCCAATTCTCCAGAATACTTGTTTGATGGCGCTTGGGAGGGATTTTCTTGGGTTCGCCGTCTCGGCCGCAGCCAGCCCGATGATTTCGGTACCGACAAACGAAAACGAAGATGTGGCTAAGACGCTGCAGAAGCCTTTGAAGCCGTTGTTTGTTGGACCGGGATCTGTCCAATAATGTCCGCCAATGTAACCACTGGTAGGCGGTCCTCCGATATTAATAACTACCCCGAGGAGTCTAGATTGTTCATCTTGGTGTTAGCAGAAGAACCATGAAAACAAGCCAGTATCAAACAACAGGCAGGTATTACATGAAGCCCACAATGGCAGTTACTTTGACCGTGGAGAAAATAAATTCCGCTTCGCCATATCCTTTGATCCCCAACAGATTTATGATGACGATTGCGAGTAGAAAGATGGTGACGAAGATGGATGGGTTAATAGATGCATTCCAATATTGGATGGCCAAAGCCCCGGAAATCATCTCAATAGGAAGAGCGATAAGCCATTGTAAAGCATAACTACCGCGTGCACTAGCATTAGCTCTGCTATCATGTTTTGTAAAACGCGTCTTTACAGGGAATCGTATGTTATGATTAACTGCAGGATTGGGTTTCTTTTACTTACTTCCAACCCATGGCGAAACCCCATGATGGGTCCAGAAACCGACTTGAAAACGCAGAAAACGAACCAGCAACTGGAAATGCTGTTACCAATTCACCCATACTTTGCATGGTGCAAAACTGTATAGCACCAGTAACAAGGTAGCCAAGCAGTAAAGAAGCTGGGCCGCTTTGGTAGAGAGCCACACCCGATGCCACGAAAAGACCCGTCCCTGAGCTCGGTTGTTAGGTCACTGCCATTTTTTTAAGCGAACTGTTGGAAATGTAACTATACCGACAGAGCCTCCAATGGCAATCATTTGCAGATGGCGGCCCTTGAGGTCTCGCGCAAGTGCAGAATTGGCCGTCCGGACATTGGCAGCACGAAGGTCATAGAAGCGACCACCGGCTTGTCCCATGTCAGGGAGATCATCGTTGACATGATAGCCATGGTTACCCGTCATGGGAAGACCTCCAGGAACTCGACGAAAGCTGTCGACGAAACGGCGACCCATTGACTTCTTGCGAGAAGTCCTGGGTCGTGAATTGGTTGTAATGGAATACGACGTTGCTACTGCGAACTGGCTTTGGGACTTGCTCGCCGACAGGTCGCTCATTTCGACCACTTCAAAGTCCCTGGTGTATGTGATGCCATTTTTGATGGATTTTGGCTTTTCTGGCTCGTTGGATGCCATGTTTAGCTGCGGGAGGCCCTCCTACGCCTATTTGCAAAAGGCATGTAAAAAGGAACGTCGATCCAGTTCGTTCGGAAAATTAAGTATGCATGGAATCATCCTTCGTGGCCAGGATGGAAGGGCTATGGAAGGCCATTAGAAGGCACGCAATGGGAGACGCAGCTGGTAGCCCTCTTTCAGGACGAAAACCTCATTTCCTTTCCAACTCCATCTTGGCACTCAAACTGCCTCGAAATGGTAAGCTCCTTCCGGTGATCGTACGAAGAGCCCTGCTGTGATTTGCTAATATCATGCACACCGCGCCGTTGAAGAGTTTCATGCGCATCAATAGCCTCACGCCACAGCGTTGCTGGAGCCGAGGTCTCAACGCCATTTTAGCACGCGCTAGATAAGAGCGGTTCGCTCATGACAGCAACAGTTTACAAGTCGTGGACGTGTTGCCGCCCCTGCATACTAACCATGTGGTTGAGTGTGTGGGGATACATGTTGTGCTCCGCAAACCTGGGGTTGAGAGATAAGGATTGTCACTTGGCAGGATTTCATCTGAAACATGACTAACAGAATCGAAAAACGATGCCATGACAGGTTCCTCGAGGATTCTATGGCATAATGGAATCAACATGCATGCACTAGCTGGATGTGGATGTACGCAAGCGACATGCATGGAGGCTCATGAACCACGAACAGCCGCGAATTTTCTCTCCTTACGTTAACTAAAATTGGCAAGAAAAAGGGGTTATGAGATGTGAGGGTGTGATGGGCAGTCGAACTATTAGTCGATTGCCTACTGTGGCTGGGAACTGGCTTGAAGATTTGCAGGCGCTAAGAAGAAGTGTTCAGAGTTATTATTGGTGAGGCATCTATCTGCGGCGGAGGCTAGTCCTCCCAGCGGGCACCAGACGTTCTGGAGATCGAGGAGTCTCAAGGCCCAAGACCGCGGCAGCCTGTGGTGGTGATCCGTGGTCCGGCTGGATCAGCGAGTCATGGCTCTGCGTTGGACTAACTCCACCACCACTGGCTGATTGAGAGTTTGCTGTAGATTGGTATGCGGTATCGGCCTGTTTATCGTCCACCCATCCATTGTCGTCCGACTTGGCCCGGTCCTCGTTCTCAGCTTCATACCAATCGCTTCTCATGGTTCCTTGGCCTTGGGGCCGGGAAGTCGTCCCGCTGCTGTTGTAGTTTGGCCGAAACTTGATCTTTCTGGCTCCGCTATCTCTAACGAAAGAGCCCAGGGCTACCAGATTCGCCACTGCGGTTGCCGCAAGCAACTCTATGGATGCCCACATAGATCGAACCACCTGGTCCCCATGCTGTTTGATGGTCTCAGGTATTCTGTAAATCGTGATGCCAACAGTCAAGAATCCGAAGCAGAAGAGCATAGCAAGCAAGACCTTGCGTCGTGTAGGAATGCGTGTAGAGACGATGATTGGGATCGGGAATATGATGAGTATGGCGTCAATGACTGCGCTGCAAACTCCCATTGTGAAGAGCTGTGCCACTCCTTGACGACACTGCGGTCCTGGGTCCGGAATGATTTGCCAGTAATGAGAGATCGGTCGGCACTCAGCCAAAGTGCTCACGAGGATGGCCACAAAGGATGCTGCAAGGATGCCTCGCAAAACATTGATGAGCATGCTGTAGACTTTCTTTGAGGAAGCGCCAGCCAGCCTGTTGAGAAACTCCAGCGTTGTAAATTTGAGTGTCCATATTCTATGAAACATTAATTAGCTTCCATTGCACACTTGTGAATAACACAGATATAAACTTCCGCAAGGTGAACTTACGTGGCAGCATAGAATATTCTTCCAGCAAGCACAACTTTACTCGCAATGACCCTCTGATCGATCTCCTTGGATAGCAACGTCAGACCACCGAGCTGAATATTGTTTGTGCCATATAACAGGACGACGTGGGTGCAGGCAATGCGCAGATATAACGGCAACAATGCCAAAGCCGTAATCTTGTCCTCGATGAAGAGCTTTTCCACTCGAATATATCGTCCCGAGATACGCAGCAAGACGAGACAGGTGCAAAAGAGCGTTATCCACCAGGCAACAAGCAATGTGGGTTTCGCATCGCTGAACGGCCTTTCTGGCGGTGCCGATGAGTAGAGAGCCATATTTCAGCCCTACATGAAAACGATTTGAAGAGTTGCACAAGCTATGATCTTGTCGAGATATCTCTAGGTGATGACACTTTAAGCAGCAAAAGAGAGGTTACGCCATGGACTCGAGATAAAACTTAACGAAAAGCAATGCATAGCACTAGCAAATTGATGTATTCATAGTAAAAAGCCTAATTAATGGTAAGTATGCAGGCTATGAACTGATAACGAGAATAAAATGGGCTTGTTACCACATCGAGGCCGATTGGCACATAGCTTGGCAGCCCCTGGCGTGGTGACTATTGAACTAATCTGGCTCCTTTTAGAGGGCTGAACTTGTCTCGCCTCCGTCTCAATGTAATCGGGCTTCGCTCGTCCCGGCCGGCCGGCTGTGGTCTACCTACCTGTAGGAGCTGTGGCGTTTGGAGAAGTTGGGCGATCGGAAATTGCTCCTGTGCCTGGCCAAGCATTCGCGGCCGCTCTCGTTACGCCACCATATTTAGCGCCACTGGGCTCAACGATGCACGCGGTGAATCCAGCATGAACTACTTGGCGCTAGGCTAGGAGTTTGGGCAGAGGTCGCGTACGACGGCACGAGGCATCTTGGCAGCATTTGGAGCATGTGAAGCGTGTCTAGTGCGGCGATGACCTGACAGGATTACAGGGAGGCGAGTTCAGCTTGCCAAACATGTGTGGACGCCATGCCTCGTACCGAAATATCCCAATAGCCCGCACTGCTGGGCTATATGGCTCTCACTTTCTGCGTATCACCCTCATTGAGTTGACGAGGCCGCGCAACCTATGGGGATACCACGTATGAATTAGCAAAGGTAGGCAAGTAGGTATTTGCAATCGTGTGGGTATTATAATAAGACCTCAACTTGTAAAAGTAAAACGGATGTGTATATGCATCTTTTCTCAATGTAAGACCCAAAGTAGCTTATCAATAAACGGCCATAGGCCAACTCCGCTCCCAAGTTGTCCATCCGCATCGGAATGCTCCGCAATACATAAAGTAGTGAGCTACCTTGTTTTGAGGGAAGTTTCCGCTTCTACTCCGTGGGTAGCGTTCCAACGAGAGCACGCGACATATCGCGAACTGTTAGTGGGGAAAACGCCAGACATAGACTGCCCGGTTAGCTCTAACACCACAGGTGCAACGGGAAATATGTAATATGGCTGCCCAGCCTTACCACCGTATCGTATTTTGATAGCAAATTCATCTCCCTAGATTGTAAGTTATGCTTTTTATTAATTTGGAGCTACTTCAGATACTAGATGATCCCGCTTCTCACTCTTGAACACTACCGAAACGGCTACTGTTTGCTGAATGAGACGCTAGATAATTGCCCATACTCGTATTACTCTGGCTCTCCCCCAAGCAGCCGCGGCATATGAGTCGCGCGTGATATCAACTTAGATAAATCCACTCCCCGGTTATGACCCAGTATACCATCAATTCCATTTGCCTGATTAGGCTAACCCCCATTCATATCAATCACTTAATTCGTGAACATCGTTATCGCATTTATCTCCTTGATCAGCCCACCAGAGATAAGGAGCGCAGGTAATTATTAAATCATCTATTAAATCCCAGTGTCTCCAACATGGAAGGTTGGTACTGAGTCCAAGGTTTTGTAGATTCAACTAGGAAGTGGGTCAGAAGTTTGGAGACGCCTTGAGCTTAAAAGAGTCAGCGGTATATTACACTCCTTTGATACAGTAGAGTTCATAAACAAATCATTCCATACAAAAACGTGTTGCAATCAGTTATCTAGACAGTTTAAACTATTGAATCTAGTGGGGGGAAAATCCATTGTTTCCAAGTCTATCATCAATTCATTAGTTGATCGTGCAAATAATCTTTCCCATAATTTTGTTAGTCTCCATCAGTTTGTGCGCGTCGATGATTTTTTCCCAGGGTAAGACTTTTTCGATGTAGACTTTGAACTGCCCAGACTGGAACTGTGCAAGGGCCTCTGATACAAAAGTATCTCTCAGTTTGCGCTGAAATTCCTCGTCTCGACTTCTCAGAGTTGAGCCTTCGTATCTGACTCTTTTGAAAGCAAGCAGTCCCATATCAAATTCCTTTTTAAAGATAAATCCGCTCATTAGTCCGATCAACACGATTTTTGCATCTTTGGCGGCAATCTTGAGGTTCTCAGCGAAGACATCGGGACCAATTAGGTCAGCAATTATGTCAACGCCTTTGCCATCAGTCGCCTTCATCACTTGGTCAACCCAATTTGGATCGGTAGTGTTGAAAGCCGCAGTGGCCCCAAGGGTATTGACGCAGAAATCGCATTTTTCATCGGATCGTGCTGTTGCATAAACGGCTGAGGCCCCAGCGCTGAGGGCAAGCTGGATTCCACTGATAGAAACCCCGGAAGCTCCAGCATGCCAGAGAATAGATTTGCCACGTGTAAATTCCCCGATCTTATACATCACCTTTGTTGCGGTAAGCCATGTCTATGTATGATTAGCATCTATCCAGGCATGCCCAATTTTTCCATAACCAGCTGAGACTTACTTCGGGAATGCCCGCAGCCTTTTCCCATGACAAGTGCGATGGCTTGTGGATTAGCATATGAGTTGAGATAGTAATGTACTCGGCATACGCTCCTAAATAACAGCCGTTCGTTAGCGAACCTAGTTTCGAGAGGTTCTCTTGGGTCGTCGTCATACCTCCGTAAGCTAAAGCAAACACTTCATCGCCGACACTAAAGGAAGATTCGCTATTTTCCCCTAGTTCCTCTATGATGCCTGAAAATTCCAATCCCATGATTTTACCGACCCAGGGAGGAACCGGGTATTCTCCATCACGCTGCATAATGTCTGCGCGGTTGATTCCGAATGCTTTGACTTTTACCAGTGCCTGGCCTTCCTTAGGTACAGGCTTTGGAATATCCGCCATATAAAGGGATTCTGCTGGGCCAACATCGCCCCGAATATCTATTATACCAGACCAAAGTTAAACATGAGGACTTCGAGGAATCGATTCTAGCCTTTCAGAAGGTTGAGTCTTACCGATTGCTCTCATTGTGTTGGACATGTCGTTAACTTGTTTTGTTCAAAAGTTTCAATTGCGATTTTTTTTTTAATGCTCACAAGCTGTAGATAGGCTCATCGATGCCGGATCTAATAGATTATATATTAATATTTCCATACTTGCGAGCGCAGCATTCGTGTTGCGGATTGAAAATCATGAGTGGGACGCATGTCTCTTAACGCCTAAAGCAATCTTCATGGCCTTTCGGGAAAATCGGCTCTTTCGGTATCTCGGAAGTCCCAAAGGTGAATCAGCAACAAAAACAAGGTCAAAGCAATATCATGGAATTACTAAGAAACAAAGAACCACACGTAATCAAAAGTTTATTAGAAGCATAAACAATTGCGCACGCATCTAATTCGATAGACTCAATTCACGTCGAATCTAGGTGTGCTTTGCCACTAGTTCCTTGAATAACCTCACCGTAGCCATTGGACAAGGATTACAAAATATGCATACCATTCCAATTCAATCAGTGCTTCTAAGATGCAGGATAAAACCATGTGTTGGGAGCAAAGCTTCGCAAAGACGCTTTGATTGTAGCGCCGCATGTAAAATGAATAGAATAGAACTTATTGGCATTCTGCATCTCCAACAGCGAAGTAACAGCCCCAAAGTAGATGCTCTTACTAAGGATTGGCGGATTGGGAACGCCCAACTGAACTCCTTCGCAAACGCTCTTTGCCGTTTAGCCAGTTACTAATTCTCATACACTACATACAACCAATGCATTCTTTACAGTAAACACCAAAAAGGCAATTCTGTTTCTGGTAATTGACGTAACGAGTATTTTGCCAATTGCAGCAACGGAACTCTCTTTAGCTGATTTGGACATTCACCATCCCTATTCGAGGCGCAGAGTTCGAACAACCAGCATTAATTGACATCAGTCCGAGAGTCCGAGGCTCCGAAAGTGAGCCGCCGAGCCGCCGAAATTTGCAGCTCTGCTTAGAAATTTCACATATCTCGAGATAGAACATGTAAACAATTGCTTCAGAGGTTCTAGAGTTATTGTTAATCAGATTTGTTTAGAAAGAGGTCTTGTTTAGGCACGATACTATGTAGGGATACTTGAAAGCCTTTTCTATATGTATTGTGCTTCCTTTAGCTTGGCAAATAAATGAGGATGCCTGACTGTACAGTATCAACATACGCCAAGGCTTGACCATTGTATTAACAACTAGGAAAAGATACATCGCGGATTTAAGAGAAACAAATAATTAAAGGCTATATCAGCCATGAGTTTTGATACCCAATCGACCGAAGCCGATGATGATAGGCGGCAACGTCAGTCTAAATCCGAACAGCAACCCAGGGGAAACGATGTTCTCGTCAGCGATGCAGAACGGGACGAAATAGCCTTGAGCCAGGCACGAACAATCGAAAGCCAGCACAGTCATACTGTAGAAGTGCCATTGGAAGGCAGAGAGGACGCATCACCGCTGCCACCGATGGGAGCCGGAAAACCTGACCCTCCGGACCTCCTGGAGAAAGATGATTGTGGAGTTTGAAGGCGCTGATGATTCCACTGATCCGCAAAATTGGCCTATGAGGACAAAGTCAGTACTCGGAGGGGGATATAGGGATAAACTATCTAACATAAACAGGGCTGTTATTACTGCGATTTTATCCATAACTACATTTATCGCGACTTTCGCCAGTGGAATATACGCGCCCGCCATTTCGACAATAGCGGCAGACTATAAAGTTGCTCCAGAGGTTGCCACACTCGGCGTCACACTTTTTGTCCTAGGGTTTTCGGCAGGGTAAGCAAGCCTCTGCTCTAATATGATGCTCTTCCAAGCCATCATTACTCTCGTCTACAAGACGTTATCTCACTCTACTATAGACCAGTGTTATGGGGACCACTCTCTGGAATCAAGGCGCGTCGGCTGCCTCTCATCGTTGCCGCCTTTGGGACTGCGATTTTCCACTTTGCCGTAGCAGTTTCCAAAAATCTTCAAAGCATCATGATCAACCGTTTCTTCACAGGCTTTTTTGGAACTAGCCCTCTTGCCGTGGGCGGCGCTGTGTTTGTGGATTTGTTCGACAACAGGACTCGCGGCATTGCAGTAAGATCTCTCAGACAGATTCTCAGCCTTGCTTTCTTGCTAACCTATATCCAGGTTACAATTTTCACGTTGTCTTTTTTTATTGGCCCAATGTTCTCACCATTCATTGGAGGCTTCATTGTAACAAGCCATCTTGGTTGGCGGTGGACTCAGTATCTTTCGGGCATCCTCGCTTCCGCAGCGGCTGTGGCAAACTTTCTCTTTGTACACGAGATTTATCCTCCAATTATTTTGACTCGAAAGGCAACCGAGCTACTTCGGAAAACAAAGAACTGGGCTTTCCACGCCAAGCAAGAGGAGACCGAGGTCAGCTTTCACGAAATGGTTGAACGTAATTTTATCCGACCACTTCATATGCTTGTCGTTGAGCCCATTGTCTTGCTAATCAGGTATATCAACCTCACTTATGCCATGGCTCCCAGCTACAGTTGCTAACCCTTTGTTACATGTATCTATTCCGCATTTATTTATGGCCTACTATATCTGTTTCTTACTGCGTATCCTATCATCTTCCAAGGCGTTTATGTCATGAGGCCGGGCATCAGCGGTCTCCCCGAGCTAGGCCCCGTACTTGGTTGCATTATAACAGGCATCATAATGGTTTTTGAGAGCACCGATCTATAGGCGCAAACGTGAAGCAAACAATAATATGCCTGTACCAGAGTGGCGACTGCCCGAAGCTATGGTTGGAGCGGTTCTCTTCGCTGGTGGCATGTTTTGGCTCGGTTGGTCTGGCTATCGAAAAGAAGTTCACTGGATTGTCCCAACACTCGGTGGTGTTGTGACGGGCCTTGGTATCTCAATGGTCTTTCTTCAGGCGTTTAATTACCTTATTGACGCCTATCTGATGGTATGTGTCTACTCATTATGAATGTTCAGTGTCTTAGTTCATTACCAACATAACTAGTAGCTTGCGGCGTCAGCTCTAGCAGCTAATACCTTTCTACGATCGTTATCTGGTGCTATATTCCCTCTTTTCTCCTCTTATATGTTCAAGGGGATGGGCATACAATGGGCAATGACATTATTGGGGTGTGTCGCGGCTCTGTTGGCGCCTGTGCCCGTCATTTTCTACATCAAGGGCGCACAGATTCGAAAAGTGAGCAAATATACGCCCAAGTTCCCTCCTCCGGCGGCCACTTCGAAGCCTGAAAAGGAAAAGGTTTAAAATTAGATGAGAATAAGGGGGGTCGCGGGATTATAAAGAGTTTTTATGAAGTTGACTAAGTTTAGAGGTGACACGCATAGGGCGGTTCAATTTGTAGCAAATTGCCGGATTTTGGCGTACAAAGGCGTCATTTCTTCTCTGAAGATGCGCCCTTGGGCTTTACCCCTCATCTCGATGCCGAAGACAGCCGCCAAACGATAAATTACTGACGCAAATCAGTCAACTTCAGAAAGGCACTGGCGACATTGTTGTTCCTCTTTACCTACAGCCTTTCATAATTAATACTAATTGCAATTGCTATCATGTCGTCCCTCAAACCTTTGCACATTCTAGCCTTTGGCGCTACTGGCAACATTGGGAAACACATCGTCAACCAACTGATTCGCGCCACGCCCTCATTTCCCAGAATCTCAATCTTCACCTCACCGAACACGGTGGCAACCAAGCCCGAGCTTTTGAGCCAGTGGAAAGATGCAGGCGTATCAGTTATTGTTGGCGACATCACCAACGCGGAAGACGTGAAGAGAGCGTACGGCGGGGTTGATACTGCCATTAGCTGCCTGGGCCGAGGGGCTTTGGAGCATCAATTTGAGCTCATCCGGTTGGCGGATGAATCGGACTCTGTCCGCTGGTTTTTCCCATCGGAATATGGCACGGATCCAGACCATGACCCTAGCAGTGCTTTCGAGAAACCTCATCAATTCAAGCGGAGGGTGCGCAAGACATTCGCAGAGGACGTGAAGAATTTGAAACCTACATACTTAGTTGTGGGACCATACATTGAGATGTGGGTGGACGGCGACGAGACATTCGGCGGGTTTGATATAAAGAATAAAAAGGCGGCTCTTCTTGGAGATGGAGAGCAACCCATTGGATTTACAGCCATGGAAGAGTAAGTTACAGGTCTTAACGATCACTAACAATTGTCAACCTAGCTAACGATGAGATGTAAACAGTGTCGGTAAAGCATTGGTAGCAGCGCTACAGCGCCCAGAGGTGTCGGTTGGTAAGGTGCTCAAAATCGCCTCGTTTACAAAGTCGCCAAATCAGATCCTGGCCGAATATGAAAAGCAGCTTGGACACAAGCTTGATACCAAGTATATCCCACTGGATGACGTTAAGGGCCTCGAGAAGAAGTACTGGGATGAGGGTAATCCACGTGCCGTTGTTGGCACGCTGCGACGGATTTGGGCCACAGGCGGAGCGGTTTACGATAAGCTGGATAATGAGGGACTTGGATTGGATGAAGGTCAACTGCAATCCCTTGAAGAGGCAGTGCGAAACCGCATTCAGGGTAAACCGTTTTAACGGAAATGAGGTTTGGCTGGGGACTGCCAGTGTGACGCAACGCGTTTACCTGTAAGGCAGTTTTGGAGCTACTGCACCAGTGTCACATCTCAGGCGCAATCTCGTGAAGTGAGAAATAAAGCTTCCAATTCATACTCACAATGAGAATCATATTACGGCGAGATAGTCTCCATTCTTGCCGGATACATCCAATCGTCGCGACTCTCCCATTGAAAGGACTACAATCACCACGAGGTAATACTCCATCCTTCCTTGTTCCCGAGGGCCTGGCAAGGCCTCCAAAAACTAACAGCATGACTCAAGTATCCACCTAATTTTAATTTACACTAACCTATATATGGCAGGGGAAAGTCTCTTTCAAAGACAGGATACGTAGAGTATGGGTAGTACTGGTGGTGCATTTTAGGTATCGTATCCGTTGATGATACCTGGCTTTCTGGTGTTGGACTAAATCAATGACTACCTAAACCGTACGCACCTCGCATCGAACACTGTACTGTCTACTCTGCTGGTTATCCAGCATTTCGCATTTCCCATCGAAATCTCGATCGTTGGAGAGTGCAAGTTGGGAACGCTGAGATAAATGCCAACAGAATTGATGATTTGTTATGTTAGGAACAGGATGAATTGACTTTTGATAGTATTCCTCACCACGGTCACTGGGCCCGCATAAGGGGAATATACGTAGGATTTGTGTAGACATCTGTCTTGACGCAATATATATTTCGACTTGTCTTATTCATTCTTGGTTCCCTTTTCCATCTTCAATTGCAATTGGGGATTTAAACCAGCTTCTTTTCCTTCTCCGAAGGACCATTCCACCAACGATAAATGCCTTTGCACCAGACCCAAGTCTCAATTGTGCCAAAAATGCTCAAGACAACAATGACAAAGACCTTGGCATTCCTGCTCATCCCCAGGCCTTCAAAGCTAAAAGACGGGAGCTCTTCATTATTCCGCTGCTTGTTATGAAGGCGAGTATAACCAGAAAAGTTTCGAAGAGTGCCGAGCTCATTGGTAATGGTCTGGTGCTTTTGAATCCTTTGCCAGACATTGGAAGTGGCAGACACGCTGCGTATCTTCGTGATGTGAAGTGTTCGGACGGCCGAGCCGATACTGGTCGAGGTGAGCACTGGCTTCATTTTGCTGCCTAGCGTCGTAGATGTAAATATTTGAAACCCGGTCTTTTGATTATGGTTGATTTCGGCGCAAGGAAAGAATTATAATCTCAAGAAAAATTAATTGCAGAAAGCACAGATCAGCCGAGTATTTATAAATCAAGACGGAACCGGGAAGCTGATAGTGCCCGCTACGAGCAATGTCCCTTGGCACTGTGCGTGAACATGATCAGTTTAAACAACAAAGCAGTAAGACGTCGTTACGTAAGCAATTGTCAATAGAGATTGAGGTAAACTGGTGTTTTACTAAATGGATTTGTTGAAAGCTGAGTAGCTAATCTCCTCAGCACTATAGGTGAAATGAAGCTTTATGCTGTTTATGCGTGAATTGTGGAACAGGTCGATTGATCCGTCGGTCCATAGTCTTCCATAAATATCATGTCATATGAGATACCACTTCCAAGCCAGGGTCGTAACGTTGGGTCAGTTTAGCAATGAGTGGACGATGAGTCCGTTGCATGTTTGCAGAAATCATAACCATCATACCACTGAGCGTATCCAACATATTGTATGGAAAATCCAGTGAACATAGCCCCGGCAATATATCGTCCGCACTTTGACGTGATTGTTGCCAGCGCTTGGCCATATTCATCGGGAGAAATGTCAGTCCATACGCCTGGATCGACATAAGGAACACAGACGAAGGCGACGACATTCCCGCGAATAGAGTAGTACGACGTGCCTTCATAGATGTGTGCTCCAGGAAGCTGCGTCTTGAGATCTGCTACAGCTGCATCGCAGTTGCCGGGGTCCAGATTAAATCCGCAGCCACAGTAGATTCCTTGATCACGGGGCTCAACAGCCCTCGGTGCTACTTGAGCCTGGTCACGCTCGATCTTTGAGGGACTAGAAATCTTTGCATGGACAGTAGTGCCATTCTCGCTAGTAGAGACTGCATAGACGCCGTCGGGGGTACCAGATGGAATAGTAAAGGCCCGTGCCAAAGCAGCAAGACTAAGAGCCGCGGCAATCTTGAAAGAGTACATTGGAGGATAAAGTATTCAAGGCTGGTTTGTGAACCTTGTTGCGGAGGACGGTTTAAAGATCTTTGAGAAAGAGAAATCGATGTCGGCTGCAACCGTAGCTATTTACGTATAGGCGGGAGGACTCCAGTATATGTTTATATACATTTATACACATTGGCCAAGTCACAGTACGAAGGAATGCCCTGCTGTTGCTCTCGATATAGCAAATGAGCGGCGTTTAAAAAATACGCTCGAGCTTTAATATTAGGTGATCATACGAGATTTAATACGACAACAGCCTGGGTGCCCTCTCCGATACCTATTTGCTGACATTCTTAGAACGCGGACTGGAAGTTCTAGGTATTGCTAATTAGCCTATTAAAGATACCATAATCCTGTTGGCTAAGTAATATAAAAGGAAGACCTGCTAACACCCTGGGTGAAGCGAACGGACAGCGTATAATAAATACGCTCGAGCAATGATATTTAGTATGTCAATCGCTTAGGCGCCCTCTCCAATATTGTAGGTTATTTAACACAGCTGGTATAATAGTATTGAAACCTATGGAATGACCCAGCAGGAAGCAGTGACTCTAGTAAAAGACAGAGCAGTTAGCTATCATCACTAAAGACTGTGCTATCAAACAAATAAAACAACATTAAAAACAAGCTATAGTTGCTCAGGGAGTTCAATAGCGTTAGTGACTCAAGAAATGAGTAATTGAGTCATAGAAGCTCCATCAATTCCTTTGTCTTATCTAGCAGTTGTATGAATCTTTCGCCTTGTTAAGCGAGCATGTAGGCAAACTCCAGGCAAGCACTTCTTCTAGCGCTCAACTCGGCAGTTTGTAAGCAAATATTTACCGCTGTAAGCCCCCAGTGCTCCGTCCCATGGTAGCCTTTGGCTCCAGGCACCGGGAGCCATGCAGTTCAATGCTATTTCATGATGCCAGGCGTAGGCTGATTACGACTTTACATAAGGATAAGCAATGTGGAACTTCCACACACCAACTACGCCTAATAGTATACGAACCGTGCAAAATTCGACGCGGCTCCGTAGTTTAGCTGCTGAACTCCGACCGGTTGCTTTACCCGAGAGCTCTCGGTCCCGAAGTTGCATCCACAATTGTTTTTCGGGTCCAGGCTAAGCGGTGCAACCCGCCAGCAGCTGTTCGGTACAATGGCGAAAGAACTCTGGTCCCGAGAGATTGCGAATCGATTTACTCATAAAGCTTGACGAGGAATCTATATAAAGGGCGAAGTACTTAAGATTCGGGAAAGTTTTTTATAGGCATCCCCAGCAACACATTCAAACAATTTGACATTTACTTAAAGCCACGACCACAGCGCCATCCATGCCTCCCACTATTGCCATTATCGGTGCCGGGCCTTGTGGCTTGACTCTGGCGCGCCTTTTGGAGTGCAGAGGCGTCGATTATGTCGTGTACGAGCGTGACGAATCCGATAGCTCTAATCGCAGAGGAGGGAGCCTTGACATTCACGCAGAGACAGGACAGCTTGCGTTGAAAGAAGCAGGGCTTTTTTATGAATTCAAGAAGCACGCTAGATACGAGGATACGTCTTTTACAATTGCCAACCAACAGGGAGAAAGGGTTTTCCAAACTGGCCAAGGGCGCGATGCCCCTGAAATTGATCGCATCTTGCTACGCCAAATTTTGTTAGACTCGATCCCAAAGGAAAAGGTTCGCTGGAATCATGTTCTTAAGAGCGTCACACTGGAGCAAGACGGGCATCATATTCTTCAATTCACAAACGGATCTTCAGCTTCTGGATTCAGGCTCGTGATTGGTGCAGATGGCGCATGGAGCAAAGTGCGAGCTTCGGTAAGACGCTGGAGAGCTTCTCCTCTCTCTAACTTCTCACATTAACGAGAGCTAATTACGAGTTACAGATTACACCAACAAAGCCACAATATTCGGGTAATCACTACATAGAGTCGAGAATAAATCTCGAAAGTCCTTACTTTCCAACCATGGTCTCAAAAATTGGCGCGGGCACTCTCATGTGCTTGGGATCGTCGAAAGAAATCGTCACTCAGCGTCAAGGCAACAGATCGTACAGAGTTTATCTTGGTGTTACCGTACCCGAAGATTTCGTGCGAAGTGGCATTGTCAATCTGACGGATACTGAATCTACGCGGCGTTTATTTCTTTCTTCGGAATTCTTTGGGGATTGGGCAGAAGAACTCAAAGACCTGATCCGATACTCGGAGGACTTTCGCAGCTGGCCCCTTTACTACACGGCTCCACAGACTTTGAGATGGGATTCTGTTCCCGGTATAACATTGATGGGGGATGCTGCTCATGTCGCCGTCCCAAATGGTGAAGGTGTCAACTGCGCCATGGCAGATGCACTCTCTCTGGCCTCAAAAATTGCAACATATGGTATAGAGGCCTTGAACCGCGCCGTTGCGGAATATGAGGAAGATATGTTTCGCCGGGGAGTCGAGCATATAAAGGGTGGTCTACAAATGGCGACCCTGATACGGCATGAAAATGGCCCCGATGCACTCGTGTCGTTCTTCAAGTCTGCAATGGAGAATGCAGCCCAAGCCTCTTCTTAAATGAGAGAGCTATTGAATGAGGGGGATAATTAATCCGTGGAAGAAGGGAGGCTTTAAAGAGCGGGCTACATTGTTTCATTAGCTTAACAGTCACATTCTCATCCTTCGCTGCTTTTGTAGGTAGATCATTAGATAGCTTTTAGCATAGATAACTTTTAGACATAAATAATAACAATATCATTGGTAGCTATTAGCGCCAAACATGTTACTCGATGAATTGTAAAATCAACTTAGCCACTGGTAGCCCTATGATGTTCCAGCTCAACTTTTTGTTACTCTCTGGTTCCTATCTCTGCATATCACCATTACTCGGGATATGTCTACTTATCAATATCCTTCTATTAACTAGCACAGAAAAAATGTATCTTCGCAGCATCCAATAGCATCTTATCCTCTCGTTAGCTTCCTAGATCAAGAACTTCAGATACTTTATTGAGCTCACATTCTACTGCCACTGTTCATCATTACTCCATCAGAAGTTTTGCCGTCAGTTTTAGATGTGGATATCCGGATTTCAGCTCCAGTGTATACGAACTAGAAAATGACCATATCAAGGATTAAAAATCAGTAGTTTTTCACAAGCAAACTAGTAGATAAGACGGAATCCAATCAAACCCGCCGAATCGGAAAAAGGCATGATGCAACAACCGTAATGACCTACTACCCTGGCTACTGCTGACTTGTTCCTTTCATCTTGCTTTCATGCCTAATTAAAGCAAGATCATCAGGGGCTGATTTATAGGCGCTCCTCATGCATCGTAATAGTCTTCCTAATTACTTATAGCAAAACCACACATGCTCATATTTAGTACGTAGAAAACAATGCTTTGGACGATTGGAATACAGCCTTGGGTTTTTTGGCCACGTCCAAATTCCAGAATCTAAGGGCTATCATCGTAGTACAGTAGCTTTTCAGATGCAGTTATCGAACGGTCCTTTCCATTCTTTTACGAAATATCTCAATCATTGTTATTCCAGCACCACGTCATGTCAATAAGTTAGTTTGTCCTAGAAGCAAACCACGTGTTTACCCCATGCATGCGGTATCGGTTCCCGGCATTTGGTGTTGTGCGGCTAAAAGGGAAAATATTACCAATGGGTTCAAGTGGATGGTGGATTCTACGTTCTCTTCGGCAATGATGTGCAATATTGCCGGAGACGTGGTTACCATTGGCTCATTACCTAGAATTACAACCGTCGGATGCGTGTCATGTTTCATTGCTATTGAACCTGATTGTCGCAGTGAATCTTACACGTATGTCTATTGCAATTTGTACTGTTGTCATTTCAGTACAAATATGAGAGCAGCCTACGATTCTTGCCTTGAGAAATAGAGAGGTTCAATTAGTGCCAAATACTAGTTCAATACTCCCAAGGTTCTTGGAGCCAGATATTAAAGACTAACAGAGAGCCAGCCACACGGCTGAATTGTCCCAAATATAGCCGAGCATTGCGTAACGATTGGCTCGGAATAATATCTTGGAGCAGTGCCGGTGCCAGAGTTCAATCACTTGACAGTCCCTTGCTAGTAACCAGGATCGGTCCTTCACCGAGCTGATACCAGAATGCAGAACCTGGCTCTTCCAGAAAAAAAACATATCAGCAGTAAACAATACCCATAATCGTGCTACTGATCCCCCACGATTTCTCCACACGAAATCAATCTACCCCGCGTTTCTTTTATTTAAATACTACCCCAGATTCTGTAGAGACGGGTGTCGAGCATGCCAAGATACCCTGGATAGGATTCCGAATCATAGCTTTCACTCTATATTCTGACATCCGCGTGGTTTTGTTTAATTACAGTGCCTTAAAAGACGCCAAGATGGTGTACCTTAATTTGAGGGGCAAGAAACTGTTAGCTGGAATAACAATTTCCAGTGGTTTAGGTTTTATTCTCTTCGGTAAGGAACCCTACCCTGGAAGGCATCTCGTCTCACCGCAGCTCTTTTTGTCTAATATTTTTTATCTTGCCGGCATAGGTTATGATAATGGTGTTATTGGCGGTCTGCTTACTGCTCCCGACTTCGAATCGACATTTAATCTCGACTCTACACTTCAGGGAGTCGTTACTTCATTATTTGAGTTGGGATGTTTCTTCGGATCTCTTGTCACTGCCTTTGCAGGTGGTCGACTGGGCCGTCGAACTCTCGCACATCTTGGCACACTATCCATCACCATCGGTGCCCTTCTTCAGGCCTCTAGTTTTTCTGTTGGCCAGTTGATGGTCGGGCGTATTGTTGCCGGCATCGGCCTTGGCCTTATATCTAGCAACATAGCTATTTGGCAATCAGAGACAGCCCCAGCAAACGTGCGTGGCACGTTAGTCGCGTGTTCGTTGAGTTTCCTCATTGTCGGCCAGCTTTTAGCGAATTTGATCGACTACGGCATGAACAGCTATTCTGGTCCAGTCACATGGCGGTTCCCAATTGCCTTCCAGGCGGTTCTAGCACTTCTCATGAGTGCTCTTCTCTTCTTCATGCCTGAGTGTAAGCTTTCCACCTGAGATATTCTGGTTTATTGTACCAGCAATGGGTCTAACGATGAGCAACCTGCAGCTCCTCGATACCTCATAATGAAAGATCGCATTGAAGAGACTGTCACAGTCCTTCAGGCGCTCAAAGATACCAACGATAGAGAGACAGTTGCCGCTGAAATCGCAGAGATCAAGGAGGCCCTTTTACTGGAACTCAACTCCCAAAAAAGTTGGACAGATCTTTTTAAGAGCGACAAGGTTAAATCACGCCGCCGTGTCATTATTGCTTGCATTGTCAACTTGATGCAAGATCTGAGTGGAAGCACTCCGATTGCATACTATACTACTTTCATGTAAGTCGAGCATCACTCTTCTAAACTTAACACCACAGGGGCATTGGCGCATTACCAGCAGCACAGCCGCTAACACATTTTAATCTTTACAGCTTTCAGAATTCCGTTGGTTTCTCTCGGCATTTGTCCTTGCTCATGTCCATATTCCTGCAACTGTGGTTTCTTTTGGCGTCAACACTTACTTGGTGGCTGATTGAACGTGTTGGGCGTCGGAGATTATTTATGCTCTCAGCTTGCTGTATGGGCATGGTCATGGCGGTAGTTGCAGCGATGCTGGCTGTCAATACTCGTACTTCTGGAATTGTCGCTGTGGTCATGATCTTTGCGTATCAGGCCTTCTTCACGTGGGGATTTATGGGCGGTGTTTGGGTAAGTTATGCGAGGATTCCAACGTTGCCTCTGATACTTTCTCCCTTGTCCCCTGTACCACCTGTGATCAATGCGCTGATATACGTTCAATTTAGGTCTATGGACCAGAGATCTTACCTCTCGAATATCGATCCAAAGGAATGGGTCTTGCCACTGCCACACTTTGGCTATTTTCTTTCGTGATGGTTGAGATCGTCCCTTCAAGTATATCCAATATCGGATGGAAAACCTACATCATATTTGCAGTGTTCAACTTTTCCTTCATTCCTATCATCTACTTATTCTTCCCAGAGACCAAAGGCCTTAGCCTTGAGTTGGTCGACCTTGCTTTCATGGACGATTCAATGTCTCCGGTCAAGCGTGCCAAGGAACTGCACAAGATGATTGCATCTGGCGAAGAATTGACTCTCAGAACTGAGGTGGGAGGAAAGGATGTTGATATTGTGCATATAGAGGAAAAGACGGCATAAATGAGCAGCCCAGAGGGGGGCCACTCTGGTCTAATATGCAATATGACATATGGCACTCAGCATAAGTTATACATTCTTGTTACAGAACCAACGAACTTGATGTTTTGATTACCAGTTATAATGAGAATAGTTAATAAGCAAAACAACTCCTGTAGATGGTATAGGCCTATCACTATTGAGCAAGGCCCGATTTGAGATGCGAAGCATACACTTGTTTCACACTGCCCTTGCAGTTCTCCAAAGTTACCAAAGTTACCGATGGATCCCCGAAAGGCATCCATTGTTTCACCGGTTATGGAAAGATTCACTCTGGAGCAGTGTTACTTACCCCATATTCATTTCCTTCATTAGCCAGAGGCGCTATGCTTCCTGTGGATCTGTACTAGTCTACACGCCAAGCTGGAGAGAAGTTGTCAGCTCACGGGAGGGATTCCGACGTGACATGGTAACTTGAGCGGCGACTGCCGTTGCTCCACTTCAGCTACTGTAATAAAAGACATCGCCATGTAAAAGAAGGGTAAATAGATATGCTTTGGCTCTTTTGAACTTCCGAAATATGGTTGCTCGCCCTTCCATAATGCAGTCGCAGTCTGTAACTATGGCACCGGATCCAACCAATAATAAAAATTTAATCAAGGAACTAGAAAAATACACATCGTGTGATGTCTGGCCCCTTCAAGAGCAAAAACATCAGCCACAAACCGCTAACAACGATACTAGATTGCCGATGCTCTCTCAAAACTTGGTTATGCCCACGGTGGCTTCCTTAGTGATATAACAATGTATTCCCCAGCTTTACAAAGCGGCAAAACGAAGATAATCGGCGAGGCATACACTGTACGATTTGCAGCCGTCAATCATAGAAACGACCCTCGTCCGCCGAATCATTTTGTAGGTCTTCTGCTACTCTGCGATCATTTCAAAGATTGCGCAATGAATACTAATAAATCGATGTTGATAGATAGATACTGTTCAGAAAGATGCTATTCTGTTCATATCAGTACCCGCGCATTTAATCAACAGTGTGTATGGCGGATTGATGTCAATGAGGGCGCAGCTACTGGGAGCAAGGGGGACTATTGTCGACGGTCGCGTCCGCGATTTACAAGAACATCGTGATCTTGAATATCCTGTAAGTATGGGCGGTTTTTAATCTTTTATGAAGCAGCTTCAAGCTAATCTTGACTCTGCAGGTTTTCGCACGAGGGATCGGTACAAATGCAGCGGCGGAAGTCTGCTTTCCGTCTCAAATTAATGTCCCTGTGCGCCTCAATAGTACTGGACAGGAAGCATGGATTAGACCTGCAGACATTCTCATCGGAGATCTCAATGGTGTTGTCTGCATACCAAAGGAAGCTTTGAAGAGTTGCCTCGATATTTTACCAGATATCGTCAATGCTGATACTAAATGTGCTGAAGACATCCTCAAAGGCAAGTCATTTGCAGAAGTTCTTCAGAAGCACAAAGGAAAACTGTGAAAAGACTCAAAGGCTGGAACAAAAATGATACATGGGTACATAAAAACATAGATATACAATTACTATCTAATATGGGAAAATGGACTCCCAATTCGGTATCAAAGTCTCCCAGCTCGACCAGTCTGTAATATCCAAAGCCATATTTGGAGTTTGAATGCCTCCATCATCGTGTGGAGGTTCAAATGGGAAATGTTCAAGCCCCAATGTGGTCATGAATTGGTCATTAGACAAAGGAGGCGACATAGGTGTAAAATCCAATGGTTGACAATCCTGTGACAACGAATTGGAGAGGGCCTCGGAGCTCAATGTAGCAGTGCCCGCTACCATTGTGATGGATTCGTCACCATCAAAAGACTTTGCATGCATCGGATTCGGATGCAAATTCGATGTCTCTGAAATCCCCAAAGCAGCTGCGCTCTGAACATACCTGAGAGTGACCTGACCTATAGTCTTAAAAACGGACAGCGATCGTTTTGCGTGTGCCCAACCCAGCTCTGCCATTGTTGACAAGATCGAGGAACATACTCTGATGTTGTTTGGCAATCTCTGCATCACTTCAGGAGCGTCTTTTTTGCAACAAATTTGGGCACTGTACAACATTGTCAAGCCGCTCAGCAAAGCGCTATGAACGCTAAGTACGCTGTATTGCATCTTTCCGAGCCGCTGGAGACTGTCGAATATTTCGATAACTTTGATGGATGAGTCGCTACAGATGCGTGCGGTTTCCATAGACAGTTTGGGAAATCTTGGGGATGGACGATAGAGTAGCATAACGGCAAGATGATAAGAGACCTCGAGATGGGCAAAGAAAGCTGCTTTACCGCTACTCAAGGAAGAGGTGGCTGCTTTCCATTCGTTGAGGTCCTTATATGTTCTGTCTCTCCACGCGTGCAGATTTGATGGCCACGGAATTCTGTCCGGGTCCTGCGAAATCCTATAAAGATGTAGCTTCATGTCGGTAATTATGATGGCGAGGCGAGAAAGGTGTATTGAGCACGATATTGGCGACCAACTCTTTCTCCCTCCCATATCAGCACCAAGCTCCGTAGTATCATCATCAAAATCTGAGGGAAGCTTCCGTCGAAACAATTAGTATAGTCCACAAATAATATTCAGTCTGAACAGGCAATGCTATATACTTACCGGCACATCACAGGCCTCATTCCTGATCCCGAGTGGCCGTCCGAGAGCAGTGCCCACATTCCTGTCGAGGCAGTAGCAGCTCCAGAAAACCCTCTTTCGCATCTCTTCCTTTAAGATGGCTTCTTTTGGCAAGCTCTCTTGGCGTGGGCCAACATCGCGGTGGAGACCCAAGTCAATACAGCTTGCCATCAATAGATAGTTTATGAACCATATGTTCGTATCGGACCGTGGATTGAACAGTGCATACATTGCTAAAAGAAGATGGTTTTGTGTTGTAACCAGAGAAACATTGTATAGCGCTTTGTCGCTATATTGCATTGCCGACATGTAGTAATTCCCAGCTTCTGCAGCCATGCCAGATGCCTTTGAAAGGGTAGACGCACCGACGGCAAGCACCAGGAAGGTTTGAAAATGAATATTAGCAACATCTGACCCAATCCCGGCCCTAGATTGACCTTGACCTTGGCTTTTGGCATCGTATACTTCACGCAGGGAAGATAGGAACGACGCCTTGTGTAGGAACGGATACTGCCATTGAACCTCGTCGAAGAAAGCCTCGGCAAGCATCGCAGCTTCGTGGAACGGGGGAAGAGGTACGGCATGGCATTCTGCCCGAAATAACGCTTTGGCCTCAGCATCTAGCTTATCTGCGTCGTGGATTTGCTGTTCCAGTCTTAGCCCCGGACTGGCTAGTAGCTTTGCAAAAGAAAATCCACTTGAAGGTCCGAGGTATTTGGGCTCTGAGGAGCCGTTTAATGATACAAGAGCAATTACATGGGTAAGGAGCTCAGTGTCTGATTGCGCTTGTCTCGACGGGGCCCACGGAGATGTTGCTGCCGTCGTCGCCACGGGACTACATAATCATCAGTGTAATTGAAAGCAAGGGGAAGTAATTGTCTGCTTACCTTGATAAGGTCGAGTGGCCTCTTCCGAAATCTGCATGTTCTGGCAATAAAGTATCTATGGCTGCGCCCTGACACACCTGTGATGCGGAACTTGAAGAGCCGGCATCTTGGCGGAATGAGCCGACGGTAGCTAGGTCTATGTCGGGACATCTGTTTGCGATGATGGCTTCTAATGACTTGACTTTTTGTTCCAATGAAACAACGTAGCTAAAAGTTAATCAGCGCAAGGAATCCTGTTTCAGCCATCACAACATATGAAGGGGGCTACTCACCTCCGAGGAATCTCCTTTTCTCGGTGTGGATCGAGACAAGGTTCCCCAGCTTTTTGGCAATTGGCACATGAGGGGAAAGACCCGTCACAGCGGATCTTACGATATCGACATCGTTGACAAGCGGCAAACACTTTCCGATTTCGGCGCCGAAGAGGTGTATTGTTGGACGACGATTCACGGTCGTTTGCAGACATGGAAGCCAAACAGCAATAGTGATTGGTTCTACCGGACGATTGATCAGACTAAGGCTGTCACGCAGCTACGCCGTACATATTCGGGAATTAATTGAAGACAAGATTCGAGAGTTCCTTTGGCGGCAAAAGATCCGGTTCCGAAAGTGTTGGACGCGGCGAGCGCCGTCGGGCTAAAGCTATTGAGGCTAGTTGCTCAATAATGTTGTCGTCCTAGGTAATGTGGACGGAGAACGCCGCACCACCGAGATACTGCAGAGTCCTGCTTATTCGGGTATTCTACAAAAGGCTTCTCTGAACCCTTCATAATGTCTTTGAGATCATGAATGTGGACACGAGCCTATTATAGAGACGAATATTGAATTAAAATACGAACATGGCGCCTTATCTCGGCTTGAGTGGCAAGTCTCTCAATTTCATCATTGGAATCATCGGCGCAACTGCTTTTGCTCTTCAAGGATACGATCAAGCTGTTGGAAATGGTATCCTGACTCTGAAGACATTCTTACATGTCTTTCCACAAACGGATACGCTTGACACGAAAGGCGCTCAAAAGTCACACAACGCCACAATCCAAGGCACAACCATTGCCATTTACGAGGTTGGCTGCACGCTTGGGGCTCTGGCCTGCGTGTATATCGGTGATAAGTTGGGTCGCACTCGGACTGTATTTGCTGCTGGCATTGTGACACTCGTAGGAGTGGCCATTCAAACATCAGCCTTCAGCCTTGGACAGTTCATCGCGGGAAGAGTCATAACAGGTTCGTGCCATCTGGTCACGGCGCAATTTTGACGAAGCCAGCAATATTGACTGACAGATCTCTTTTATAATAGGACTTGGCCTCGGCGCATGTACCGCGACTGTTCCTATGTGGATTTCGGAATGTGCCAATGCTAAAGACCGCGGGTACTTTGTTCTTCTTCAAGGCTTATTTGCCCTGGGGGGAATTGTTACCGCCACCTGGCTAGAGTTTGGGCTTTTTTATGTTAAAGATGACGCTGTCAACTGGCGCTTTCCTATCGCCTTTCAAGCAGTCTTGGCATTGATTGTTGTCAGTGTTATTCTATTCATGCCGGAATCTCCTCGCTGGCTTCTCAAGAATGCACGCACAGAGGAAGCCAGTAGAGTCTTGGCCGTTCTCGGAGACACACCTGCAGAGTCAGAGACCATCGCTGCGGAAATTGCAACTATCAGCAGCGCTATAGAGCAGGAAGCCAGCAGTGATGGGTGGAACAACCCTTTTGCTATGAATCATGGACGATACCTCCATCGCACAATGCTTGGGCTCGGTGTGTGCTTTTTGGGGGAAATGACTGGCGTCAACATTGTCACGTTTTATTCGACAACCATATTTCAGATTAATCTCGGATATTCTGGAACTACATCCCGAGTCATCTCTGGGTGCCTCCAAATATGGCAACTCCTTGCTGCCGGCCTAGCCGTCTTCCTTGTGGACCGCGTTGGCCGCAGGCCCCTTCTCATCGTTTCAGCTGCGGGCATGGCTGTAGCACACGCATGTTTGGCAGGTCTGACTTCCAATCTTCATAACAAGCATGCTTCCGATGCGGCGATATTCTTCTACTTTGTTGCTCTCTTCTTTTTCCCCATCGGCCTCTTTCTCCTTCCCTTCATGTACGCTGCCGAGATCGCTCCTCTTAGAACTCGATCGCAAGTTACTGCAATGGCTGCTGCTATACACTGGCTATTCGGTTTCGTTATCGCTGAAGTCACTCCGGTGGCGTTTGCGAATATTTCATGGAGGTATTATATTGTATACGCTTCCATCAGTGCCTTTTCCTCAGCCGTGTTCTATCTCTTTTACCCAGAAACGCGAGGCCGCACTTTGGAAGAGATTGATGAGATTTTCACACAATCAAAGTCAATTTTCGACACAGTGGGTGTTGCAAAGACTCTGCCATTCGCAACTCTTCCAGACTTGGAGAATGAGAAGGCTCCACGTGTAGAGCAAAGCGAATAGCAAACTGTAGCACATGTTTCATGAGATAGAGACTATAGGCTAGTTCTCAACTAAGTAACGGGGTTTAAAGAACACTTGTAGACTTCTGTAACGTTGCACAAGACTAATTTAAAACTGGGCGTTCAAAGACCTGGCATTTAAACTTACCTGTTTTTATGTACCCTTGTTTCAAACACTCTTACTTTGTAACCCTCTTTAATAGCCCTCTTTTTCGTTCGCGGTAAGGACAACTACCGTCCTTTTATAGTTCCGGGTTATGTCCCCCGTAACTCACCGTATGAATGTCCTTAATACCGACGTCAAATTCTAACAAAATTCCTCGGCAAAAACGGAGAAAATCATTACTTCATTTGGGAGTAAGCAAGCAAGCATAAATCTAGATCTGCAGGAAGACGGACCAATGCTGCGCTAATTAGACAATGGTACCAAGAGTTGCCTTTTCTCAGCCAAACATCCCATTTCACCTCAACCCTTCCACCCATTGACCAGACTAACAGTAGGGTAGACAACACAACTAGAATCACAACGTATAGGGACGCTAAAACAGACTGGTGACCCCTGACAGGTACACAATATATCGCTCTTAGAACAATTACAGAACAAAGAAAAGATGTTGAATGACAGCGAATTATGCCGTCGGCACAATATGCGTGCAGCATTCAGGCAATCTAGATTGTTTACCCCGGATCTTCTTCCGCCCCACATTGCAATCCCCTCTAGAAATACCTATCATATCTATAAAATGGCATTGATCGTCCGGCGTGCAATTGTCCTCCTCCTCGCAACTTGATCGATCCCTCTGGCTACTGCGGCAAACCGATCAGGATGTTTTCATTGGTGGTGCTTGGCATTCTTGCCAAGGCTTCAACCGTTTCTGCATCGCCAACCCAACATGAAGACCTTTCCGCGTATGTGAATCCGTTTATTGGCACCGCAGGACCTGATGGTACCGGTGCGAACTCTGGAGACACATTTCCCGGCGTTTCTGTGCCTTTCGGAGTTGTGAAACTCGGCCCAGACACTACAGAGATGAATCCCAGCACAAACGCATTTGCTGGGTACACACCGGATGGAAATGGTAACAATTCACTCATTCATCTGTTTATTCAGGGTTTTGCCAATTGGAACTAAACAAGAGTATCGTAGTCACTGGATTCACTTGCTTCCACGAATGTGGCATAGGAGGAGCCTCAAAGTACGGTGTGGTCGGACACATGCCACTTACAACTCTGTCAGGTGTCAATGTTCTCGATAACGCAACTTACCAGCAGCCTCGTGTTACAATGGATAGGGCATCCGTTGGATACTACCGCTCTGATCTAGCAAACGGCGTCAAAGTAGAGCTTGCCGCATCCAACCACGCTGGATTTATTCAGTACACATATCCGAAAAACACTGAGCGTATTGTCCTTTTGGATGTATCGCATAACTTGCCGTCTTTAGCCGAGTTTGTGAAATCTCAATCATATAGTAATGGTCAAATTGAGGTCAAAAAGAACGGCAAAAGAGTGCAGGGCTGGGGAGTTTGGAGGGGCGGCTGGGGAGGCACGGGAATCAACTGGGGAGTAGGCAGGTCAATGTCAAATTACCACGGCTGTGTCTCTCGCTAATACGGCTGCCAGGATCTGACTACAAGATTTATTTTTGCAACGATTTTGATTCCACTCCTTTAACCTGGCAATACTTTTCTGGGTCGTGGAATGCTCCAGATAACCCTCCAAGTCCCTCCACACCAGTGACCTGGGGTAACGCATCAACAAACCCAAATGGAGTCCAAGGAGGCCCTGACGGCGATGACTCTGGTGATAGAGTTGGCGCTGTATTCAGCTTTCCAGATAAAACAACGGTCGTCAAGTCCAAGATTGGGGTGTCATTCATCTCCGTCGAGAAGGCTTGTGCGTTTCAGAGCGAAATTCCATCTTGGATACTAAATCAGACTGTCCAGTCGACTAAAAAGCTATGGAACGATGAAGTCTTTAGCAAAATATCGGTCAAAGAATCTGCCAAGAACGATACACGGCTCACACTCTTTTACTCTGCTCTCTATCGCATGCATCAGATGCCTTCTGATAGAACCGGAGAAAATCCCGACTGGGTTTCCAGCGAGCCATACTATGACGACTACTACACCCTCTGGGATACTTTCCGCTGTCTTAACAGTTTCTATCTTTTGGTTCAGCCCCAGCGCGGCATTGACATGATACGTTCCCTCATTGACATATGGAGGCATGTTGGTTTCCTGCCAGACGGCCGCAGTGGCAACCATAATGGCAAAGTACAAGGCGGGAGCAATGCTGACAATGTTCTGGCCGATGCTTATGTGAAGGGATACACCGGTGGTATTGACTGGAAGGATGGATACAAAGCAGTATGGACTGATGCAGAAGTTGTTCCACCCCCCAACAACGACCCGGAAGATTCGAGCTGTACGGATAATCAAGGTCGCTGTGGACTTCCAGACTGGATCAAGCTTGGATATGTGTCAACAGCGTTTTCGTCAAGCATCAGTCGTACCGTTGAATATTCTCTCAATGACTTTGCAGTAAGTCAAATTGCAAAGGGTATAGCGCCGCATGATTACCAGAAATACTTGAACCGATCAGGGTGAGTTATCCCAAGCTATGCGCCATAACCTTATCTGACGATGAAGTATTGAAGCAATTGGAAAAATCTTTGGAACCCGGACATAAATCAGTACAACACATCGGGATTTCTCGGTCCTCGCTATCCCAATGGAACGGTTATAACTATCGCCCCGCAAGACACGTCCTACACGACCGAAGGACTACCATGGGGTATGTGACGAATGGCCACTCGCCGGGCATCAAATGCAAGTCTAACCAGAGTATAGAATACACATGGACTATACCGTTTGATATGCAGGGGCTTATCGACAAAATGGGTGGTGTCGGTGCGACTGAGAAACGGCTTGACCTGATGTTTGTGCCTAAACTCCGAACGGTGGATTTAGGTGTGGGAGTTGGATCAGGAACAACCCTATTCAATCCCGGTAAGTAAACAGCCACCATAACCTCACACACTTCATATCGATGCAGCTCAATTGCTTACATCTTCTCAATATATCATTAGGCAACGAGCCCAGCTTCGGCACCCCGTTTTTGTATAATTACTTGCCAGGCCGCCAATACAAAGCCGTGAACCAGTCCCGCGTGAACATTGATGAAAATTATTTCGCTGGGTCCAACGGCCTTCCTGGAAACAGCGATGCTGGTGCTATGGACAGCTGGATGCTTTGGCAGATGCTGGGCCTGTATCCGGTGGTGACCCAGCCAGTCTACTTGATCCTGGCGCCATGGTTCGAGGATATTTCTGTCTCGGTCGGTGGTTTTCATACCCTTCGAATTAAAGCAAAGGGGCTGTCCAACGACAGCTTCTTTGTTCAGAGCCTTAAAGTCAATGGTAAAGCTTGGAATAAGAGCTGGCTGGAGCATAGTGACATTGCAAAGGGTGGACTGTTGGAATTTGTCTTGGGCCCTGAGCCAAAGTCATGGGATACTGGGACCATCCCTCCAAGTCCGGGGCATCAATAGCTGCGCATGTTTGGCAGTCTCTATGACAATCTAAATGCAATCGGTTGCTCCCAGACTAAAAGGTTTGAGATCTCGACGCTGCGTACAGTAAGCTGAAGAGCTGAATATTCACAGTGTCATGTATATAGCAGCGGGGAGCTAGTTCACAGCTAAAAACTCATGCAATACTGCGTTCTAATAGAAAAGAAAATTGTATTCGAGAAGGGGATTTTGCAGATGTGACAATGTTAAATACCACACCAGTACGACGCCATACGACGATCAAATTACGTGATGCTAAAATACAGCTTATAGAAGATCGATGGAGACGACCAACTTCGGAAATGACCAAGTTGAGCAGAAAGGACTCAAGCCAAATTGCTTACAATGTCTTCACCAATTGAAAAAGATTCACAAGCAATTGATACGGGTGCTCTCAGCACAAATGGCACGAAGGAACCATTTCACGAGGAGGGGCTCGAGCTGTCCGGTAGGCCCGCTACCGTGAATCTACATCGCCAAAAATGGTACCAATGGTTCTCGCCTAGCGACACGCCGGAAGAGCGTCGATTGATACTAAAGCTGGACGCATTGATCATGATCTTTGTTTTTCTAGCATATTGGGCGAAAGTTTTAGACTCATCTGCGACAAGTGCAGCATACGTGAGTGGTATGAAGGAAGACTTGAAGTTGTTTGGAAACGAGCTCAACTATCTCAACACCACTTACATGTAAATTGTCCAAAGGAGTAAGTATACATAGGACTTGAACGTTGTTTTACTAAGACATTCGCGCAGGGTTGGATATATCACGCTTCAAATACCATTGACAGTGCTTGTGAGGCCACTTCCTACCTTGAAACCACCATGCGAACCGCCTTTGTCGCTGCATGTGTCTGACCGTCGTCGCAGATGACTCGCTTCTCGGCAGCATACTTTATTCCCGGGGCCGACCTCATATGGGGAATACTCACTCTTGCGCAGTACAAAGTCAGCAATGTGCACCAGCTATATGTGCTTCGCTTCTTCGTCGGCGCGGCTGGAAGCTTGTTCTTCCCAGCTGTTCAATGGCATCTTGGGTGCTGGTATAAGCGGTCAGAACTGAGCCGACGAGGTGCTTTATTTTTCATTGCCAGTCAAGTTGGTAGTATGAGTTCGGGATACATACAGAGCGGTGCATACGCTCACCTCAATGGTAGGTATGGCATTGAAGGATGGCGCTGGCTGTATATTATTTGTAAGTTACCTTACCATCATGAGGGTCTGAGAAATGCATATTAACTCCTGGTGCAAAGGCTTTGCCTGTACGGTACCAGTCGCCCTCCTTGGATTCATTGTGCTACCGGGTCATCCAGATACCTGCAAACCTTTCATCTTAACAGAAAATGATATTCGACTAGCCAGAGAGCGCATGGCGGCTGAAAACCGTGAACCTCGAAAGCCAATTACTTTATCTGTGATCAAATCTGTTTTGGTCGGTTGGCACTTTTGGGTTTTAGTATCCTTTGCCTTTTTCTTCTCACAGGCCGACGGCATCTCCTCAAACAGCGGCCTCCCATTATGGCTCAAAGCCGAAGGGTACAGCGTCGAGAAGATCAACACCATCACCACCATCCTACCTGCGGTGACAATCGTGTCCTCAATCATCTGCGGCGTGTTATCAGACATTTATGATGCCAAAATCTGCTTAATCACTATTACTGCTTTGCTCAACATCTTGGCGGGCGTGGTTTTGGCCATCTGGGACGTACCCAAGGGTCTCAAATTTTTCGCCTTTTTCCTTTCGGGGTCTGCAGACGGCATCGCCGCCGTCATTTACGCATGGGCAAATGAGATTTGTGCCGGAAATGCAGAAGAGCGTGCAATCGTACTTAGCAGCATGAATACTGTTGGAAATACGTTTGGAGCATGGCTTCCGTTATTGTAAGTGGACATCCGCCATGAGACAACAAGACGTTTGGAGGACAAGAGCTAATGTAATAATTTTCCCACCTCTGTGTAGTGTTTGGAAGACTTCGGACGCTCCGCGTTATCTTATTGGGTATAATTGGACAATTGCACTTGATATATGCATGATTGCCATGCTGTTTGTCCTACGATCCTTTTGGAATCGTGAAAAGAAGTCAATGGAGATCTTGTGAGGAACATCTGATTGTCTTTCAATATTTATAGATATGCAAAAATGTGGCGCAATTAGGCATCCAGCTTTGAAACCTTGGTAATCAAGGATCCAGTTCATACCCATCAGTTCCCTCATCTTCCCTCTTGATCAGTGGCTGAAACGTGTCCACTTTCACGCCTTCGATTGCACGCACATTTATAGGTTGCATTGCCATGTTTTCATGATACACTGCCAAGGCTCTCTCCTTTCTTTCTGATGGAAGTTTGTCAAAGACGCTTATGGGAGGGCCATAAATGTTACTAAAGACATGGACGCCGCAAGTTTTGCAGTACGTCGACCCAGTGAATTTCCCGCCCGTGAGATATTCGAAACCTCGATCACGGCCGTAAATTCTAACATTCTCTTTTGTAGGGTAAATGCCGATGTAGGCCATCTGCGCAAACGAGTGTTAACAAACGACAACAGAGGATTCTTATGAGATACTAGCCAAGCGTGGTTATGGCATACCCTCACACATTTACTACAATTGTCCTCTTTCAGTTCTTCGTCCTCTATTGGGCTCAATAAAGCAGCTCTGACATCACCGCAATGGCATGCAAAGAGGCTTTTCGCAGCTGGCTCGTCAGGCTGTTGTGAGAGTGGTTCAATCGATCGTGCATCGTCTTCAGCTTCGATGACAGATATTGCCGATCTATCAATGGCGTTAGTACGGCTGACTTTTGATCACAGAGTGATAGACTGACTCAAGTCCGAATGGATTAACATATGGCTCTCTCAGAGTTCGGATGTTGATCAAGAATTTGCCTCGCAGCGGACCCGTCAGATGCTCGCCCTCGACTCCGCTTCCGCAGTAGCTACAGAACTGTAGGCTATCAGTACTCTCCTGATCATACAATCAAATAGAGTATCCAAAAGAAATGAGATGTGCGTTTATATGTACTTTATCTTTTAGTGTAGATGTCTGGTACTCTACAAGATAGCCCTCATCTCTCACAACTGTAAACGATCCTTCCCCTGGAATCAGCCACAGGTATCCTTTCTTCACACATAGGCTGCAGGTACAAGATATGGCTGATGTGATCTCTGCTGTTGAGACTTGAAAACGATAGCGACCACAGTGGCAGTTTCCATGATGTACGATACTGTGAGTAGCAGCCATGATAGGCTATTTTGGAGATGCTCAACGACATGTAGACGAAGACATTTCGAGAGGGGTAACACGGCGCTGATAATGGGATTGAGGCTAGGTTTGAGACTAGGACACGATTGGATTCCTCCGCGCAATCATCTAGCTTTCGGCAATCCTTCGCACTTCAGAAAGCCGAAATATTGTTATCCCTGGATTTTCTTCTCTCCTCATTATAGGTCTCGATAAGAAGCCCTACATGTGTCGTGTAATTCATCACGATTTCCCGTAGACAAAGTTGATGGCTCTACTTCGTATCAACCCCATGACTAAAGAAAGAAAGGGTGGGGGGTCTGGCGCTTCTCCGTAAAACGGAGCAATACGCCGCTGATTGTCTCAGTCCTAGTCCCAATGCCTTCCTATCTCCTTTCTCTTCATCTTCACAAGTTCTTCGAGATTTCTCCCGTTGGATTCTCCTTAATCTTCATCCTCTGTGCCTGTGAGACTTGTACGGAATCGACCCATCATGGCGACAGATATCCTTTTCCAATCACCCACCGTGATTACCGGCGACGAATCCGCCGAGCCGTTCGTGGCCGATGTGTTGGTTTCGGGCGGCCTGATTGCCAAGATCGGAGCTCCGGGTTCAATTGATGTTTCCTCAACTACTCGACAAATCGACGCAAAGGGTCACATCCTCTCTCCTGGATTTATCGATATGCATGCTCATTCCGATCTCTACCTCCTCACACATCCAGAGCATGAAGCAAAAATAACCCAAGGCTGCACGGTAAGGCATTCCTTCAGCAAAGGCCGATGTAACCCCCAAACACATCTCCCCCACGGAGAGGGACGCGGCTCCGATGTTTCCATCGCTGTGGGGGCAATGCATCCGTCCTCCACGCTTGGCAGCTTACACTGTCTTCCGCGGACCAGCCGAGATGAGAGATTTGGCGTGATATAATAGCTGATCATGATTCAATACGGCAGACCGAAGTTGTTGGCCAAGACGGCATCTCGTACTCCCCAATCCGAAATGTCAATCAGCTCAAGGCGATTCGAGAACAAATTGCAGGCTGGAATGGCAACCCTACTGACGAAGAATGTCGCACGACACACAACGGAGTTGGCATGTTTGAATGGCAGACTGTGGGAGAGTATCTGGATTGTTTAGAGCGTAATAAGACGGCTACGAATGTCGCCACGTTGGTGCCTCAAGGCAATTTGCGATTGCTCGCATGTGGCCCATATGATACGCCTGCATCACCCGAGGAGATTCAAGATCAGATCCAACTCATGCGAGAGGCAATGGCTCAAGGCGCCGTGGGCATGTCCAGGTAACATCTCTTCACACATGCATATTTAGTTTACGACTAATAGCCTGGGTTTTCTGACTCGGCATAGTGGCCTCACTTATACGCCTGGCATGTACGCCTCAACGTCCGAGTTGGCATCTCTCTGCGAGGCACTGGCAAAGGAATTTCCGGGTGCATTCTATGCGCCTCATCATCGCAGTTATGGGTTCCAGGCCATTGAAAGCTATGCCGAAATGCTAGGACTGGGCGAGTCGACAGGCTGCCCTATTCGTACGTCTTGCTCCATCACATCGTAAAGAGAAGCCAGAGTGCTTGAAGCTGATTGACGTAGATCTCACGCATGCTACCATGAACTTCTCTGAAAACAAGGGCAAAGCGCCAATACTCATATCCATGATTGACAAGTCACTCGAGAAGGGTATTGATGTAACACTTGATACTTATCCCTACCTCCCAGGCTGCACAACTCTAGCTGCCCTGCTACCCAGCTGGGCGTCTGCAGGCGGGCCAGCGGAAACCCTCAGGAGGCTGGAAGATGCAGAAACCAGAGAAAAGATTCGTGTAGCTGTCGAAGTGACCGGATGCGACGGCGGCCATGGAATCCCGACAAACTGGGAAGAGATTCAGATTGGTGCAACGAGCGAGCCGTCTCTGGCATCATATTCCGGTCGCAGAGTGGCAGAGATTGCCGAATCAGCAGGAAAGTCAGCCAGCGAAGTGTTTTTTGAGCTCTTGCGAAAAGACAAGCTGGCAACTAGCATCATTATGCATGTAGGCAACGAAGAGAACGTCCAGCTGATTATGCAGCATCGGGTGCACATGGCGGGCAGTGATGCGATTTTGCACGGCAAGACGCTTCACCCACGTGCCTATGGAACATTCCCTCGTTATCTCGGTGAGTGACGCCTCTGTTGCATATTCGTAGGTACCGAGAGCCATGTGTTAATGCCGAACATCACAACAACAGGCCACTATTCGCGCGATTTGTCGCTTATTCCTCTACCCGCCATGATTGCGCATCTCACCTCTCGCCCAGCCAAACGACTCTCTGTCTACCCATTCCGTGGCCTTGTCGCTGAAGGGTCGGCTGCTGACCTTGTCCTCTTCGACCCGGAGGCCGTCAAAGATATGGCAACATATGAGCAGCCCAAGCTGCCGAGCAAAGGTATCAGATACGTCCTAGTGAATGGTCAGGTGGCTCTAGATGAGGGCAAGATGACGGGTGCACGAGGTGGTAAGACGTTGAGGAGGTGGAAGGACGGAAAGGTGAAAGCCAGAGACGAGCGAGTGCTATAATAGTGAGTGAATTTCACCACATTTGGATGCGAGCAGGGTATACGTGTGTTACGCATAAGCACTTTATACTTTTCATATCCCATGTGAATCACCTGTAGCATGTCTTCAAGGTTGTCATAAGCACGAAGCGTATCTAGAGTCGAGATCTTAGTCAAGGCTGTGCAATCGCCAGCCTCAACGGAGGCCATCTTCCCGGTTTCAGTCACTCTTCCTGTTTTAACCATAAATGCACGAGCCACGTATGTATCAACAGCTGCCTTTCAAGTCACTGACTAGCCGTTCATCGCCACTCATCTGTACAACCTCCCGTGAGATCCGCCGCGCGGCCGCAAACTCCTTCTTCCGTCCGGCACCCAATGCCTCAACATGGAAATCTTCGCTTCAGCATTGCTAATCCCTCCATCAGCTCCGCTCGGGGGCTTTTTGTCATGCTTGCCTTTCTGGCTTGGGATTAGGCCTCTCTGCTTGTCCCGTTTAGTACTTGGGCCGTCCTGTTAGCTGGCTCGCGAGAACTTGTTTGAACAAGTTAACCCGTCGCAACCCAACGACGAACTAGTTGGTTGGCTAAGTGGCGCCAAGGGGTTGCAGCAGAACCAAGGCCGTGCTCGTTGGCTCTCAAGTAAGGCTGATTAAAAGTCGCCTCCGCGTGGCCATTGGCTGTGACACAAGCCCTCACATGTGCTCCAGCCTCGGGGCACCTGCGGCTATTTTTATCTCTCCTTGTGCCTGGATCAGTTCTAAATTAGAAAGCATGGCGATTAGTGTAGAGACCAGCTTGTTGGGCCTGGTTTGAAGCCGGGATGAGGCGCCAAAGTTCTTTCTATTGTCACGATTATAACGCATCTCTGTCTGATTTTTTCTCTTATAAATGCCAACACCCTTGTGCAATCTGCTCTCATCTTAACCCCATGCAAATTGTGGGTTCAAGTCGAATCTAATCACCAAGCGATCTCATCAATCACATTTAGCCATCTACGCCAGTCAGCACTATCCGACTCGCCGGTCCAGGATCTCTTCCAGCATCTTCCCGCCACTGGCATACGGACAATTACAGCGGCGGACAAGACGGCACTAGTTTCCAATTCTCGCAACTGAAGCCGGGGTGATGCGGGCTGCGCGCGGATGGTGACCTTCTCAACAGTCTCTTATTAAAACCTCAATATCAACCTTCCAGCCACCCCTTCCAACAGAATTTTTGTGCATTCTTTTGAAGATACCCCTTCTTCGTACATACCATATTGCTCTTTTCTTATTTGTCTTTTTTTAATAATTCTCGTCATAATGCCTTCCTCTCTACCCTTCCGCCGACGTGACCCCGGCACAACAGCCCAGGCATCCTCCTCTTCTTTCAACGACATCATCTTCCCCAAGATCTACGAAGAAGCCTGGGGCGTTTCCGATGGCTCAACTTCAGATAATCGATCGGAATTCGATCGAGCTCGTATCTTTCTGTTGCGTATGGCCAACATGACGCCCGATCCCAAGATTATCGAAGAGCTGCGTACGATAGTTGCAAACCCACAAAACAAAACTATACAAGCCCTAGCCACAGCGATACAGCATCGGATATTTGGAGACTCGCACGGCTCTTTTGCTACGACACCTCTGATGCAGTCCGTGCGGTTCATGCTTCTAAAGTCCCGCGTCACAGAGCTCATTCTGTCGGACCGAACAAGATCTGTCGTCGACTTCTTTTTCGACCCAACACTGGAGAGAAACCTCAATCCTACACCCACCGGAGAAGTATCTGTCTACAAGTACCCAGCGGGAAGACTGAAGGTTGCCATTGTAGGAGGTGGACCTACTGCTTTGGCATCGGCCATCTCAATCGCAGAGAAAGGCGCCGGCAGTGTCGAGGTCCACATGTATGAAAAGCGCTGGATACAAAAAGTGCTCCCCAATGGCACTGTTGTCGTCGACTATCCTCCGTATGCCAAGCGAAGAGACCAGGTCGTCACGCTTCAGGACTCTGTCACACGCCTTCTCAGCAAGCCATCATTCCAAGCGCTCTTTGCCGGAAGGCCAGAACGAGTGTGGCCCGGCTCAGCCAACATTCAGATCCGAAAAGTAGAAGATCGATTCCTCAAGCGAGTGCAGGATCCAGAGTTCCAGGGACTCATTTACTTGCACTGCGAGGGAGTCACCAGAGAGGACCTGGCTAAAGTTGGCGATTTCCATGTTCTGCTTGGTGCTGACGGTGCTGCCTCTTGGGTACGACAATCATACTTCCAAGGATACGAGAATGAGCGCGGGAGAAGCTATGCGCTAGGCTTGGCTTTTGACCGACCAGCTGGTTTGCCTTGGTCACAGCCTCTCAATGTCTTCCTCACACTTGGACAGACGCGGTACCTGCTCAACGCGAGTGACCACGACGGCCGAGGCTACCTAAACATGCAACTCACTGAAGAGGAGTGGCACAAGATGGTTTCGGTTGACGGCCAGCCCGTTCACTTTGGCAGGCCGGGCTGTTTCAGGAAATTGGACGGAAGCGTCCCCGAAGGTTTCGAGCACAGTCAGGTATTTGCACCTTCAGAGGATAGGGGCAGTCCTCTATGGGTATCAATCTCGGATGGCCTTAAGCTGTTTGGCTTCAAGGAGGAGGAAGTCATCAACGTCGTGCGAATCCCCATTGTTGTCCAGGCCGTAAGAGAGGGCGTGCAGATGCTTCCGCCACAGGATTCGATAAACGTCAAGCGCCCCCATGCCCTTGTCGCGGTGGCAGGCGATGCAGCAATGACGGTCCATTTCTGGCCTGGTCGTGGACTCAACAGCGGAATCAAGGCTGGCTTGTCCCTGGGAGATGAACTTGTACATGCCTTGAATAACGGCAAGTTTATCGGCATGCCCATTGATGCTTTGAAAGAGTACAACGATTTCATCCTCAAACTGCAGGGACGAGAGCACGATAAGCGAAGCATTCCCATTCTGAACCAATCTGGTTCTCCCGAGATGCTTGGCTGGCTGCTCCAAAAAGCCAACAGCGTTCCCGATCACGTAGCCATCGAGTGGCTGATTGGCGCCATGACGCAAATCGCAGACCGCCTACAGAGGAGAGATGACTGGTCGTACGATTATGTCGACAATGTCGAGCCTCAGCTGCGCATTGTGCTGCGGCAACTGGACACGGTCACTCTCAAGGAAATGGCCGTCAGCTTCCCCTGGCCGACGAGAGAAATGGCCGGCGCCGAGGTGTTGCCCGTTCGGTCAATGAAGCCGGAGGAGAAGCAGAAATGGCTCAACAACCTGTGGGGTGTCTTGCGAGAGGAGAGGAACAAAGAAAGCCGCGGCCCTCCACCCCAGGAACGGGACCGATCTCCTTCAGCAGCGCGATTTGAAGCTCCCAAAGGTGGCAAGGCCAGGCCCGTATCTCTCATGCCGCCAGGTTCAGACAGCCTTAACAACGGAGTCTTAAGGAGGAGCAATGCCACGCAAAGTGTGCGGCACAGTAGGGGTCTCTCGGTGCCAGGAGAGGGTGCACAAAGGGCTCGATCGCCGTCACCAGGTCCAGGCGGCGAAGTCAGTCTGAGCAGAATGCTGACGGTTCACAAGAAGCCGCCGACGTCGGTTTTGGGCGATGCGCTTTCTTTGGCTCTGTTCCGTGTGGAGGATCAGTAAAAGGGGTGGATAATGGATACCCTCTTGATTTACTTAGCGATATGCGTGGGCTCATGATGAACAATTGCTTGTGTATATGAAGCCAGACTTAATGTATGAATGTAGATGACCAAATCAAAATGTGAGAGCCTTCTTTCAAAATTGTCGCTATTCTGTTATCGTCCAATGTCAAGCTTCAGACATGGCGCAGAGCAATTTCGGGATGCTCGGATGACATAGATGCAACGGATCGGGCCGGGTAAAATCTCAGCAAAGACGGGAAACTAGTCTTGCAGATTTGACGAGATCTCGCAGTGGCGTGATTTCGGTTAACTAGGCCGCATCAAACAATCCATCATTGGTTATCGAAAAGGCCAAGCGATTGGCGAACTTGGCGCGTTTCTTGGCCGGCTAGCAGAAGTGTGAGCTGCAAGTGGTTGCGAGTCATCTTCAAGTTTGAGTTGCAGAGGTACTATGCGAATGTTGTCAATACGCTGCTCGTATAATGTGATGCTCCAGGGAGGTAGGACACTTGCCTTCAATGATCCTTGATAACCTCCTATTAGGGTTTGACCATAATCACAAGATAGATATATGTTCATCACATCACAGAGCGTATTGCATTGCTTCTTAAGTCTGTTTATTATTTCATCAACACCTGTTGAGTTCTAGGTAGATACTGTAACTATATGAAAAGACACCCGTTACTCTCCCTTTTGCACAGCATGCTCCTCCTCGCTGTAAGTAGGGACGGAGTCGGATTTGCCCAGGCCGAGCTGGGTGGTGTCCCAGCCGTGGCTCTCGAGATACTCTCTGAACTTGGCATCCTCCTCGGTAATGGTGTCCTGGCCGACGTTGGGAATGAAGAAGAAGGTAATGGCAGCGGACAGGAGAGCCAGCGAAGAGGCAACCCAGAAGGGGTACTGGGCAACCTTGGTGGGATCATCACCACCAGCAGCCTCGATGCGGGGGAAAACCCAGGTTCCGACAAAGGCACCAATCTTGCCAATGGCAGCGGCGATACCGTAGTAACGACCACGAACACCAGTGGCACAGGTCTTGGCGGCCAGGAGACCAATGTTGTTGCCAGGGCCAAGCTCTCCCAGACTGAGGAAAATGCCGTAGACGACAGCGAACGCAGCAATGTGCTTGGAGATCTTGTCGTAGACACCCGCCATGATGTATCCGACGACGGCCTGCAGAGAAACGCCAATGATGAGAGTATACTTGGGACCGATCCAGTCGCTAACAAAGGCACCGATCATGGTTCCGGGGATATAGAACAGGTTGATGACAGTGTTCCATCCAAAAACGGTGGTGAGGGGAGCGGAATCGGAATAGATGCCGGATAGGATGGACGAGGTGTAGATACCGAAAGCATACGCAGAGAACTGATAAATGCGTTAGAATGCTTGAGTGCAAATAGATTGTCCAAAAAAAGAGAGTCAAGACTTACATCGTATAGGAACCAGACGATGCTGACGACGAGCAATCGGAAGCCATAGAAGCGGATGATGAGCAGGTAGGGAGTCTTGTGCCTCATAGAGTTCTTGGAGAACTCCTCGGGCTCCTTGAGCCTCAGACGAAGAGCGAAGAGAATCAGAGGGAAAACAACACCGATTCCGAGAGAGGTTCGCCAGATGGTGCTAAGGCGCTGGTCGTGGGTAGCGGCGGCGACAGCGTCTGAGACAAGAGTGTGAGCAGTTGCCATCATATCAGAAATACAAGCAAAAAAAAACTTACAGGGAACAAAGGCTCCAATGACAAAGCCCCAGTCAATCATGGTGTTGGTGAAGAGAATGAACCAGCGGTTGCGGGTGCCGGACGAGAGTTCGCCGCTCGTCTCGGCACAGCCAACACTACCAGCAGGATACTCGCCTGTGAGCACAGGAAGTTAGTATCAAAAGACGCTTCATTTTTGACGGTCTGGGGGAACGAGGGACAAAAACAAACCTCCAATGCCAATGCCGACAAAGAATCGCCAAGCAGTCAGCATGTTGAACATGCCAACAGGGTCGCCGTGGTAGTAAGAGCCAGTGGCCAAGGCAGTGAAGACAATGAGGATGATGGTGGACACGAGCAGCGAGTTGGAGCGAGACCAGCGATCGGCCAGGAAGCCAAACAGCAGCTGGCCAACGACGGTGCCGACAAAGGCAATGTCCGACACATACTTGCTGGCGTTGGACGAGGTGTAGACGGTGCCGTACTGGAGCTTGAGGACGGTGTTGACGGAACCGATGACGTTGTTGACGTAGCCGTCGGAGAAGAGACCGGCACCGCAAGCAAAGACGGGCAGAGCCGTCTGGAAGAAGGTCTTGCGGCGGGCGCCGACTTCAATGGCGGGCTCCATCATGTCTGGTGGCAAGAGGGCGTGCTTCCAAGTGAGCAAACAAGAGGAAGATGTCAACAGAACGAGGCCCCTCGAGACGAACAACTCAGAGGGAGGTTGGTCACTGGTGATCGAGATCAACCAAGAAGAGAGAGATGGAGTCTCATATCTGAAGGGGTAGCACCGGCTATCTATATCGATTTCATCACAGGGTTACGCCGAGGCCACGGCCGTGTCCTGGAACTCTTGCTCCCACCCACCCAACGCGCACTAGCCTGCAGCAAACCACCTGCGCAGAGTGGTATCGAGGAGAATCCACTCGAGACAATGGCTAGTACTCACTCGTACTAAACTCTTGCTGCAGATGCTTGCACATGCTTGGAACTTGAACAGCGCTAACTGGTCGTGTCGTTTTGACCCGAGCTCTCGGGGGTCCACACGAGGATCAGTCGACCGGGGCCCAGGATAGCCCACAAAGAGAACGGCCTCGTTTGGGCAGATGCGAGAAACGAAAAGCACAGGACACAAAGGCCATGTGCGTGATGCTGAGACGCCCAATGGCTGGTCGTGGATGAAGCGGCAAAAAACGTTGCCACAACGTTGTGGATTCATTCGATATCTCTTGCAGGGTCAGGGTCTTTTCCACCAGCACCTTTTTTTTTTTTGATAAATTTTCTTTTCCTTTTCAATTTTTTCCCAGTACAAATTCGTTACTGTACTGGTCGAGCGAGATTCCGGAGTTGGCAGTTGATCTCATGCTCTCTCTCTGCCGGCTGGCGTTTGCCGGACTTGGCAGCTTAGCTCTTGGCGACAAGTAGTACATGCAGCTACGCGGATTAGTGCTAGCAGCAGCAAGTACTTGGCGTACAAACTACATGACTTACACCAGTGCAGCAGAAGCATTACAAACATGAACAGTTCGGCGATGATGATCTTTGGACCGTGCTTTGCTGCTCAGTGGGCTATTACGTTACACGTACACACACATCGTCGCTAGATTCATCTGATGCGCAGCACTACTCATGGCACAGTCTGGGGGTGCGGAGAGACATGACTCCATGTTCCGTATCAGCGTGGAGAAGCCCTGGCAAAAAGTCCCCCCGGGCAGATATGATAGGTTACCATGCCTGGCAGAATGCGGATAAGTGAAAAAACAAAAAAACCAGGTGAAGAGAGAAGAAAACAAGTGGCTGATTGCCAGGATATGATACCGGCCCCCGGCAAACGAGTGGGCATGCAAGTCTTGCCAAAAAGTGTTGAAACACCAAAGCTGGCCTCTCAACTCGGCATCTTCACCACGTTGACACCATCATCCCACGAGTCTGGCTCTTGCCGGCTTCAGCTTCATGAATACGGCAGCCGCTTTTATTAGTGAATGAGACGCAAGTCCGTCAAATAGTCGCGTCAATAGCGCTCCCGATCGGGTGCCGTCGCGAGAACTTGCAGTCCGATCTGAAGCCCTTTTTCGGCCGAGCTCTCGGACAGACCGCCCGAAGAAGCATCACCAGAGTGCCGAAAGCGTTGACCGAGCGGCTGCCGGGGAGGAGAGGCAGCAGAATTCCGAAAGAGCGAGTGCACACCTGGGCGATGCACGTGGATAGAATGAGACGTCGGCGTTGGAGTTGCAAAAGCTGAAGTGGTTGTTTCTTTCTCATGAACTCAACTCGCCCCGAGTCGGAGTGGCCGACCTGTCAGCACTATCTGGGAAGTCGTTGGCAGGGACGGCCATGCACCAAACCGCGGTTAGTTGCGCCGACGAGGGCGCTAAACAGGCCTGCAGCAGTGCGCTAATCCCGACTTTTACAGAAGGGGTGGGGGGCGCTGTTGGTTCGAGGTTGGGCGCTATCGCGAGTTTTGACACGGCGGGCTCAGCTGGGTCTTGTCCAGATCAGCGAGCTTGACGCCTTGCATCGGAGAAGCTAACACTTTTGACGACGGGACTGGTACTGACAAGCAGCGGGTAGTTTCTGGTAGTTTCGGAGGCGTGCGCGCCCGTCTTGGAGTGGGTGAAGGTGAAGAAGGCATTGATATTGGATGTCTCCAATAGAAGCTGGCCGATGAGAAACGTTGCTGGAGGTGGAGAGTTGGTGGGGGGAGCCGGAAAAGACGATGATGAACTGATAAACGGAAAAGACGAGTACATGACAGTGGGTGTAAAGCACCGTATGAATGAATGTACTGTATCGTACAGCGCTGAACAAGCAAGAAATTCCCAATGGATCAAAACGGATTCATGCATCTTTTGCTGCAAGCCCGCTGGCCTTGGTCTCCGGCCCGTCCCACAGCCAAGCACAGCTGATTCAAGAAGGCGGAGAAACGTGCAGCCGCATGTGATGACGGAGGTTACATCGTCCCGAGAGATCAAAGTTGCACATTCAGCTGCTCATAGATGAATTAGAATACGCAGTGAACTTAATGTTGATGGATAAATCCTATAGGTAATAGATGGAGCACAAGGCCTGCCCATCTTCTATCGATCAATGTCAACATCATCATCGCATTTCAATCGCCATCTGGCATGTGATAGAGCAAAACCCCAAACGCTCGGGTCTGGAACTTTCGTACCGGAGGTGGGTTGGCTGCTAGCGCGCTACTTTCAGCCCCCGCCAAATCTCCATACACCGCCCACGTCGCCCGCAAACATTTGACCCATCCCAAACAACCTCCAGCGCTATCTACCTATCTACATATCCATCCATCCATGGTTCATCACAGGTGGACCACCAGACGCCTTTTCCTCCATCCCGAGCCCTGTCCCGTGTGCTGCTTCAAAGCATCATTACCTTATCGTCTCACTTGTTCTCTCCATGCACCTCCGGCATCCACAAGCTCCCGCTCTAGCGCCTCGAAAGCAATGAGGCTCGTCTCGACCTAGAGCTCCAGCTCCTCTGCAGCTTTGCCATGGCGCCGGGCACAACACCATCATCGCCAGCCGTCGCCCATCCTGTCCGCAATGTCAGTCTCTACAACATCGCTTCTTTTCTTCTCTTTCCTCCCCTTCTCTCTCTTCCTCTCCACGCCAAGGCGATGAGTACTCGTACATACGGCACTTGTACATGCAACATCTGCTGCGCCGTTTCTCCACCGTCCAACGCGCGTTTCGCTTCGTTTCCTTCGTGCTGGGCACATGCGCACAGACCGGCTGACCTTGTTTCCTTGCTGCCATAGACGAGCAACGATGACACCATTTCTCTGTCGCCTCGGCCGCGGGCTGCCCCCTCGACATCGAGCCAAGACCCGGCCAAGAGCGGCTGCTTGAAGCGCTTCCTCGCCCTCGTCCTCGCATCGCTGGTCCGCTGCTTCGACGCCATGAGCTCCTCGACAAAGGCCGCGCTGCTGCGCTTCATCCGCTGGCTCGACTCGCCGCTGGGCCACGGCGTCCTCAAATGCACCTTGGCCTACACCATCGCCAGTCTGGCCACCTTCCTCACGCCGCTCTCCGACTTCCTCGGCACGCTCGACGGGAAACATGTCGTGGCCACAATCACCGTCTATTTCCACCCGGCCCGGTCCACCGGCTCCATGATCGAGGCTGTCCTCATTGCCGTCGTCGCCATCGCATACGCCGAGCTCGTTTCGATCCTCTCCATGGTAGTCTCCGTCCTTGTCGGCTCCGTCATGGGTCTGGTCACTTTGGCGCATGTATTGGTCGTCATACTCTTCATTGGCGGTGGCTTTGGCTTCATGGGGTGGGCAAAGCAGAAGATGGCAAACCCGCTAGTCAATGTCGGCAGCACCTTGGCGTCGCTGGCCATCATTTCCGTCGTTACCAAGGAAAACGCCGTCATCTCAAACGTCTTCTCCAACCAAAAGATTGTCCAGGTCTTCAAGATGCTCATCATGGGCATCACGTCCACGGCTGCCGTCAACGTTTTGGTTTGGAGGGTGTCGTCTCGCGATCTCTTGAGGACTTCCATGGCAAAGGCAGCCACGTCGCTGGGAGGCATGCTTTCCACCATTTCTGCGAGCTTCCTGAAAGGGGTCGAGGAAGAGCAAATGTCTGCGGATTTCACCGCATCTTCAGCCACCTACGCAGTCACCTACCCACAAATGCTCAAGAACTTGCGAGAGGCCAAGTTTGAAGACTACCTCCTCGGTCGAGAGAGGATTTACGTCTTGCAGCGATCCACCGTCAAGGCCATCGAGACCCTGGCTCGCTCTATAGGCGGCTTACGCAGCGCGGCCAATACCCAGCTGTCCCTTCTCAAGCTGGCCGAGTCGGACGATGTGCCGCCTCCCCTGACGCGCTTCCTGACAGTATCGTCACTTGGGGATTTCGAAGGCATATCGCCTAGTAGTTCGAGCCCGAGAGCTGCACATGTGTCGAGCAGGCCTAATTCGCCAGGACAACGGCCTAGTTCTTCCTCCCACGATCACGACGATGGTCCCACCCCGTCATCTCTCTTCCATTTATTTGTCGACTTGATAGGTCCATCGATGGAAGCTCTAACACAAAGCCTTGTCCTGATTCTCCGAGAGTCGCCTCTGGGGTCTGCCCCCAATTATGAGGCTCCCATTAGCGATGAGCTGCGGCAATCGCTGACGGAGGCTCTCCTCCAGTTTAATGTGGCGAGATCCGATGCCCTAGGCAAGGTGTACAACATGATTGAACGAGAGAAATCCACATCGAGGCGGATACAGGCCGGCTTGGAGGAAGTCGGTGCTGCCTGTGGGCATTTCAGCTTCAGTCTGCAGACGTTTGGCGAGGAAATGCAAAAATATCTGGATATTCTCGACGATCTCAAATTTGTCAACGAGCACAACAAACGAAGCTGGCGTTGGATACTCTGGTGGAGGAAGGACGACACCGCAGTGCAGGGCCGTAAAATGTCAAGCCTGCCGTTTGAATCATCACCGGAGGCCGAGAGCCTCATCAAACCCATCAGGAAGCGGGACGTTCCCAGAGGTATCCCGGATTCCATGGTTCTCCGTAGAGACACCTACAATTGGCAGGCAGCACCTAATGCCAGCAAAATACTATCCGCCATTTCACGGTCTGTTCTGAGATTTGCCCGGAAAATTGC